AATTATGGTGTTGTTCTCACAAGGGAAGCCAAGGCGCTAATTGTAACAAAAAGGCGCCTTCGAAGAAGAGCAATTCGTTCTCAAGATCCTGAAGACCGTATTTTGTGGTACAGAGCTGCAATGCAACTTCGAACCCTTTTAAGGAGACTTCGAAGCGATTTTTTTGAGCATAAATTGTCTTCCATGGACTACACGGTGGATGCAAATTATTCACTGTGGAAATGTACAAAATCGCTTAAGCGCCAGCCCCTTAGACAGGTTCCTGTTCGGTGTCCCAGTGGTGAGCTCGCAAAAAATGAAGTGGAGCAGGCCAATGCTTTCGGTCTACATCTAGAAGAACGCTTCACTCCGTATAGCTTTGCATCGACAGTTCAGGTTAGCGAGACCCATCAAACTCTGGAGACGCCTCTGCAGATGTCGTTGCCAATAAAGCCTATAAGGATTGAAGAAATATCTGAAGTTATCCAGTCCTTACCGAAAAATAAGGCTCCAGGAATTGATAGAATTTGCAACGTAACGTTGAAGGCCTTGCCCATAAAAGCGATTCTATTTATAGCTTTAATATTTAATGCTATTATTAGGACTCAAGTGTTCCCAAAGCAATGGAAATTAGCAGCAATTCAGATGATCCACAAGCCAGGTAAGCCAGAGGCTGATCCTGAGTCTTACCGTCCGATAAGCCTCTTATCGTCCCTGTCCAAGTTGTGGGAGAGACTCATTGCCAATCGAATAGCAGTTATCATGAATCGAGACAATATCTTGCCAGACCACCAATTTGGTTTTCGAAGAGGACACGGCACTGTGGAACAAGTGCATAGATTGGTGAAACATATTTTGCAGGCCTTTGATGACAAAGAGTATTCCAACGCAGTTTTCATTGATATGCAGCAAGCCTTCGATAAGGTGTGGCATGTTGGACTTTTGCTTAAAATCAAAAACCTCCTACCTGCCCCCTACTATGGTCTTCTGAGATCCTACCTAGAAGAACGGGAGTTCAAGGTCAGAGTTAGGGACAGATACTCTGATAACTATAGAATGAGAGCAGGAGTACCTCAGGGCAGTGTGCTTGGGCCGCTGCTTTACTCTTTATATACAGTGGATATACCAAGCCCAAACAGACATCACATGATAGATCCTTCCAAAGCTTTGATTGCTACATATGCAGATGACATTGCAGTCATCTACAATTCCAGATGTCGGAGGGAAGCAGCAAATGGAATACAAGAATACCTTAAGGATCTTTCTGCTTGGTGTAAACGTTGGAATATGAGAATCAATCCGCAAAAAACTACGAACCCCTGCTTTACACTGAAGAGACTTGTATCTAACACCCCTGAAATCCAGCTAGAGGGAGTCAGTTTGGAACAGCCGTCGCAAGCAAAATATCTTGGTATCACACTGGATAAGCGCCTTACGTTCGGACCACATCTGAAAGCAACAGTCAAAAAAATGTAACCAAAGGATTCAGCAACTGCGTTGGCTTACACACAGAAGGAGCACTTTGCCGCTGAGATGCAAGAGGGCAGTATATGCATTCTGTATCCTGCCAATCTGGCTTTATGGTATTCAAATTTGGGGGATCGCAGCCAAATCGAACTACAAAAAGGTTACAAGTGTTGCAGAATCGGTTTCTACGTACCATTACTGACTGTCCCTGGTATGTGCGTGGCACGACACTTCACAGAGACCTAAATCTACACACTGTGGAAGAACAGATTGGGAGACACACAAGCCGATACCGAGATAGATTAGAAAGACACCGCAGCTTACTGGCTAGGAATCTACTCCCAGCGAGACCTTTGAGGCGTCTCAAAAGGCAAGGCTTTGCCAAGACGATAAGGAATCAATAAGAAAATACTATATATAATCCTCTTCTTAATGCTGAGGTTTGGTTTACTTTTCTCATTGGTGACACCTGTGTTGTTAAGTACTTTAATTTGCTGTACAGATTCTGCACTAAATAAATAAATAAAGAAAACAGAATCCACAGAAGAGGAGGACAAATTATAGTAGCTTTAGATTAAATGGACGCACATTAAATCAGCCACGTGGTTTGAGGAAGGTTTGGGTGGTGTTTTCCGGGTGGTTCGGCGGATGGGTTCAGTGGTTTTTCCTGGTGGACAGTCGGCCGTACATATACGTATAAATTAAGGGGGGCTTCTCATGTAAAATTTTAAAAAAATCGAAATTTTTTTTTTTTATAAATCGATAGAATAACGTCTTGAGAGTATATTCCCGAAGTTTTATGACTCAACTCTCAATATTATGGAAAATATCAGTGATTGAACGAGCGCGCTCAAGTTCAAGGTCCACACTAACTCAAAACTTTAAATCGTTTTTTCTCAAAACTATGTTTTAAAAAACGCGGTATACGATTACGGAAAAACTACTGAACCGATTTTTGATTTCTAAAAAGTGTTTTGCAGATTATACATTGAACGAGTGCGTGAATATCTGAAATTGTGAAAAAAAAGTTATTTTATACACTTTTCAGCCCAATTCAGCAAAAAAAAAGACGAAAAAATGGCACTTTTTTTTTAAGACGTGATTTCAATATTTTAAAATCGACTTTTTTGAAGTAGCTGACATTCACGCACTCGGTTGAACCTTGCTGCATACAAAAAATTTTTTTTTTTTTTTCAGATGAAAACTTTTTGCTCCACACTGTACCGCAATAAGTCCCTCAGCCGCGTCGAGCCACACGCGACCTTGAATAAGTCCGCCATTTTGTTTTTTAGAATTTCCAAAAAATGTTTTTCTCATACTTTAAACATGTCTTCAAATATGTGCAAAAAATTATTCGTGTAAGTTTTCATTTTCCAAGTGAAAAAAATTCCCAAAAAACCACTACTTTTTGGCATGTTACATGAGAAGCCCCCCTTAAGCAATAGCCAGAATCCAAAAAGGCGGCCCAGTAGAGCCGGCATCAGAAAGTTTGTCAAGCTTTTTCTCTCGTCTTCCATTTATTTTCGGGGACGTGCATAAACTATTCGCCAGCAGTGTTTGGGTGGGGGTAGGACGAGTTCTTCCGAAATAAAATAATTAAATGTTTGTATCTCTGGCGGCCCTCCTTCAGTTGAGATGTTAACAAAATTTATAAGACAAATAAATTGTAGCAGACGAACACACAAAAAGTGTGTGCCCCAAAGCCAGCAGATTTGTGACTCCACTCCTCCTCTCTCGCTCAATCTGTCATCCTGTCCGCTTTTCCTTTTTCCGACCGAGTTGGGGAAAAAGGGCGAACTTGGTTGGTGACCAGAAAATTAATTTAACTGACACGTTTTTCATTCATAAATAAAAAGTACATTTTCTCGCAAAAAGTCTAAGCTTATTTATCTAAAAAAGGGTTCAAGGGAGAGTGTTAATGGAAAGGAAAAGTAAATATGTCATTTCGAAAAAATATGTTTTGAAGGCATAATTTTCAATCTTTATTCCTTATTTCCTTTCATATTTCAAACCTAAAAGTTTAAAGAACTAATAAGAAAAGACCCATTTAAATGCGATTCGCTTGAAAGCCCAGTTTCTCTGACTGAAGCCACCTTGTTCAAGTTGCAAATTTTCCGTAAGAATACGCCCAAAAGGACATCGTTGTCCTCCGCCAGTCTCGGGTTAAGTGAATCTAAGCGTTGCACTCCAAGCCAAGCCAAGCAGATGCCGCAATGCCTCGGCATTCTCGGTTCTCGGCTTCCAGTTCTTGTGGCAAGTTCTCCAAATGACGGTGACAACTGAACACCGAGCACTGAACACTGAGGACTGAATACCGAGGAGGACTAAGGACACACAGGATGTGACGCGCGTCGGCCATAATCCTCACAGCCAAACATATGTGGGCGGTGTGGGTGGTGCGGCTGGTTGGGTTTCCGTTTGCATAATGAGAGGGCGAGTGACATTCACTGCTGCCTTAGGGCCTTAGGGTGAACCTATCCCACAGCTGAAGTTGCTCGAATTAGAACTCCATTTGTTATTCATTATTTTTGCTCCTGCCTAAATTCTTGCTCAATAAGATTTTACAGTTAGGGTTCAGCAATAACAATGATCTCTTATTGTGGAAAATAAAACATTATAACAGTTTAAATTGCGTGATTTTCATGACAACACTGCGTATGAGTGATATTATAAATACATATGTTATGAAAGAAGGAAAACAATTGTCTTTACAGTAACACGCAATTAAGGTTCACTCTAGTGTTTGTGGGTTGTTTTCCTGTTGTTGAAGATTCCATTAGGCTTTAGATGTAAGAACTTGTAATTCTCCGTACCTGTAGAGGAAGAAAATGTTTGTGTTTCTTAAATTTTAAACACAAATTTCTTGTTTTGTGTTTGTTTACTCTTTAAAAAATAGAGTTTTTTATTATAAAAAATATGACACAAATTAGTTTTCTAAAAATATTTTAAGACTTCACTTGCCCTGAAAAGTAGGCAACTAATTTTTTATTTTCTCTCTGTTCTGCTTTCAGGTACTGCAACATTATTTTCTTACTCATACACATACACACTTTTAGCGACGTACTCAAGCAATAAAAGACTATAGAAGATACGATCAAAATCCCTAATAAACAAATCAAGTTCAGCATTTACGAGAAAAGTCTGCGTGTAGAAAGAAACAAAGAAAAACAAATAAACAAACAGAAAAGCCACAACGATAGTGCTTGTCAAACTGCAGAATACCAAAATGTTGCAAGCGGAAAAACAAAAGCAAAGCAAGAGAAGCAACGACAAAAGCAGCGACAACAGCAACAATTGCAATTGCGATTGCGACGGCAACAGCAAAAACAACAACAAAGCGACGTTTCAACGTCGCAAAATTACAACGATAACATAAGAGCAAGCGAGCGATAGTTATATAGAGCGAGAGGGAAAGAGAGGAGAAGCTTAGTTGCAGAGTCCCCCCATTTCCCCCTCCCCCTTTGTTTTGGCTGTGTGCGTGTGTCTGTCTGACTGTGTGTGTGCCCTCTCAGTTGAAAATAATTTAATTATTTTATTTGCACTAAGCGCGCGTTATGGCACAGCAGCAGCAACAGCAACTACAACAGCAACACCACAGCAGCAGCAGCAACAACAACAACAGCATTCTCCTCCTTCAGCAACAACCACAACAAGAGCAACTACAGCAATACAACAACAATTTGTATAGCCAAAATTATAAGTAAGTTTTAGAGTCACTGCACTCTATCTCTGTCTGTGACTGTCTCCGTCTTTGTTGTCTCCCCTTCTCTCTTCGTCGCTGTTCATACACATCTACCACACACATACATAAATATATTTGTTGTGTTCTCGAGCATGTCTGCACCACTACCACTACTAGACTTTTAAAAACCAGACAAAATCAAATGCAAACATTTGCACAATTTAAACGTCCGCCCGCTGCTTCCCCCTAAAACAAAAACAAAATAAAAAGCAAACGCTCTTCATGCCCATCAAACTAAGCTTGCGTGTGTGTGTGTGTGCATGTCTAACCGTTGACACCTATCGTGTGCTTGTCAAACTGTTGGCACCTAACAACACCCATGTCCACAAGAACGAGTCAAATATTGACAAAATAACGAAATTGGGGAGCGAATCCTCATTTTTATGTATTTTAAGAACTAGAATATACCCTGCTATTGTTTAGTAAGTTATAAGAAATCAATAGTAGTCCCCAAAACGATAATTCGAAGCCTTTTTTTTAACCAAAGCAACCAACTTTAGGCTTAAAAAAATCGAGTATTAAAACAAGGGAAAGTAAGAAATTGTTAGTCCACAAATTGGATAGCTTGAATCTCGAATCCTGCAGCACGCAATGCATGTTGAACTGTGTGTCCTGAACGAAATCCTTGAGCATCCAAGCTGTTTGAACGGCTCATGTTTGTTGTTGTTGTTGTTGTGTTACCTGTGATGTTTGTTTGACGTTCTAATTCATGTTGTTTCTGTGAGCCAAAACGCAAATCAGCCTAGATAAGAGGCATCAACTTGATAGTAAACAAAGTAAACTTAATGAAATCCTAAATGTTTCTTGCAGTATGGAGGAGTACGAGCGGCGAAAAAGACGGGAGCGTGAGAAAATCGAGCGACAGCAGGGCATCCAGATCGACGATCGGGAGACTAGTCTGTTCGGGGAGCCGCGCCGCCTCACCGAGAACGATGCGGAGATCACGGCCGCCCTGGGCGAGTTCGGGGAGGCGCGGGTGTACATCAACCAGTCGACGGTGGGGATCAGTCGGAATGCGCCCGCCGGCGCCGTCAATCCCCGCCTGCAGGCGCCTCCCCCTCCTGCCGCCGCAGGGCAAGTCTCCCTCCGCCTCCGCATCCGCCTCCGCCGCCTCCTCCTCGGCGGGATCCGCCAACTTGGGACTGCCCAACCAGCAGCAGCAGCAGCAACAACACTACCAGCAGCAACAGCGACCGTCGACGTATCTGAAGCAGACGGACAACAAGCCGCCGTACAACGGACGCGGCGGCTATCCGGGCCAGCCGATGAAGAACGACATTCCGTCGAGTAGCGGCATGGCCCCGCCCCGTGGGCCGCCCAGATCCTCCGCGAACAGCAGCAGCAGCAACTCGTCGTCCAGCGCCACAAACAATGCCAACAGCAGCCAGCAGCCAACGCTCCTGGGGCCGCCGCTCTCCACGCAGACGCCCAACGGGCGGGAGAAGTCCTTCCTGGGGCCGCCGGCTCCGGCGCTCCACAACGGCACCGGCGGACGCTTCGTTCCCCCGGCGGCGAGCCAGCGGCCAGGAGCGGGCCAGCAACCACCGCCACCGGAGGTGAGTTAACAACTCAACTGAATCAGTAAAGTAAACCTAATCAATGTCTGGTTTTCCACTCTGCAGAAGGACGTTAACAAGATCTTCAGTGCGATTAAGAGCAACTTTGGAACTGTGACGCCACTCACACTGATTGCTGCCACGCCGCATGCCCCGCTGACGGACAACTTCAACCCGCTGGCGCCGAACAAGAAGATCTACGCCATCGACATGATCGGCGGCTCCTCGCCCACGCCGGAACCCTCGTCCTCGCTCTTCTCGCCCATTGCGCCCATCGCCTCGCCCATCAGCTCGATTATGACGACTCCGCCGCAGGCCAGCCAACTGCCACTGGGCGGGGCAGCGAGTGGGGCGACGTCCGTGGTGGAGCCCCTGGCGCCACTCCTCCAACTGCCACCCACTCCGCCCAAGGCAGCCAATGTGATCACGTCGCCGGCAACGGCGAAGCCCCTCAAAACGGAGAAGAATCACACGCTGGAGAAGCAGGATTCCTGGTAAGTAAACTGGGAGAGACTCATCTCTATATTTCTTACTGTTTCGTTATGTTCCTTGTAGTCTGGAGAACGATCTGGAGCTGTCCGAATCGGAGGATGAGCAGCGCAAGAAGGAGGGGTAAGTGCATCGAATATATTCTTGGAGAAGAAGAGATGTAATAATTATATTTATTTCCAGTCGATCGGCGGGCAACAGCAGCAATAGCTCCGAGTCGGATTCCAGTGAGTCGGGCAGCGAGTCGAGCAGCAAGAACGACCAGCAGCACCACCCCAACCACCACCAGCAGCAGCAGCACCACCTCCTCCAGCAGCAGCAGCAATCCAGCATCCTCCAGCAGCAGCAGCAGCAGCAGTCGAACCTCCTCCAACAGCAGCATCGCAGCAACAGCCTGACCTCCCAACTGACCTCCAATGGGGCGCAGAACAAGAAGGTCAGGCACGAGATCATCGCCCGCGGCAGCAACACCATCACCGGACTGCTCAACTCCAGTGTGTTCGGCAGTGGTGCGAGTGGAGGAGGAGCAGGTTCCGGGGTGAACTCCAACTCGGCCGTCGGGGGAGCGGGCAGTGTGTCGGGGGAACCCTGAGCAGCGGAGGCAGCTCCTCGAACAAGACGCCCTCGCCGACGGAGAGCAACAAGTGGACGCTGAGCAGGTTCTTCCACAAGCCCGCCAACCAGACGAACTCCTCCGAGAGCGTCTCGCCCGGGAATGTGAGCATGAAGGTGCCGGGGATCCTGCCCGGCGGCGCCCAGATCATACCCGAGTCCATCGACGTGACGACGGCGATCGTGAAGAACGAGAAGCTCCACGACGACCACATGGACATGGAGGAGGGCGAGGAGGAGGACGACGACGAGGAGCAGCAGCAGCAGCAGCTGCGCTACGGCGCCGGCCTGAGTGTCACCCCGGTGGGTGTGGCGGTGGCGGTGAAGAAGGAGGCCATCGATGCCATCGATGCGATACCAAAAATCAAGCGCGAGTCCGCGGAGGCGCTAATCGCAGCCCGGCTCTCGGATTCGGGGACCAGTGGGAGTGGGAGCGGCAGCTCCTCGAGCAGCAGCAGCAGTTCGGACAGCGGGCAGACCGGCGGCGAGGTGGCAGCCATGCCCATGCTGCCGGGTCCCGGCGAGACGCTCCAGCTGCCCGGCGTCCCAGCGGCCATTACGACGGTGATGCGGGTGCCACCGCAGCAGGCGCAGAAGGCGCCGCCCAGCAACAGCGTCACCCTGACGCCCATCCTCCAGCTGCCCGCCTCGCCGAAGCAGCGCCAGAAGAAGCCGCGCAAGAAGAAGGCGGTGACGAGTGCGCCCATCCTGGACTCCAGCGACGACGACGAGCCGCCGCCGAAGCATCCTGGCCTGGAGCACCCCGCTGGAGCCGCACTGCAGCAGGCTCAGCCCGCGACGTCGACGGAGGCGGTGAAGAAGGGACGCGGTCGGCCCAGGAAGCAGCAGCAGAGCGGCGGGAGCGGCAACCTGAGCAGCGCCTCCGCCGGCAGCAGCTCCCAGACGAACCAGACGACGACGACGACGAAGGGTCCCACGCTGACCGCCGCCAAGAAGCCGCTGGCCAAGGCGCCGCTGGCCATGAGCCGGGCCAGGAAGCGCGACCATTCCAGCCACAGCCACAGCCAGAGCCACAGCCAGAGCAGCTCCAACGGCAACACGCCCACCAAGAAGCTGGCCGCCACTCCGGTTCTGGTCGGCGGCTACCTGAAGCCCTCGAGCGTCCGTGCGGGGAATAGCAGCAGCTCCGACGAGGACAGCTCCTCGAGCGCCGGCTCCAGCTCCAAGTCGAGCAGCTCCTCGAGCAGCAGCGACGACACGGAGACCCAGAACACCAACTGCCGCATCGTCAAGCTGAACAAGACGGGCGCCGGGCCGCCGATGGTGGCGATGGCGCCGCTGGCCAGCGGGAGCAGCTCGCCCAACAGCAGCAGTGGCAGCGAGCCGGAGCACCAGAACCAGGCGAGAGCTGGCCAGCTGATGGGAAGCGGTGGTCAGTCGCAGGCGCAGCAGCTGGCGGCGTACAAGCCCATGGCGATGAGCCAGCACAGCCAGCAGCTGAGCAGCTCCGAGTGCAGCTCGTCGAGCGGAGGGTGCGGAGGCGGCGGCGGCGGGAGCAGCAGCAGCGGCGAGGAGGACGAGGCGTCCAGGCGGCTGGGGGAGAAGGAGCGCGAGCGGAAGCCGAAGAGCGACAAGAACAAGATCAGCACGCTGACGAGGATCTTCAATCCGAAGGAGGGCGGCGCCAAGAAGCAGGGCCAGGTGGTGATCGTCGACCTGCAGGAGGAGCAGCAGCAGGGCAAGCTGGACGCGGCGGCGGCGGCGGCACAGCCTCCGCAGGCGGCAGTGGCAGCTGCCAATGCCATGGCCAAGCCACGGATGACGCCCACGCAGCAGCAGAATCAGCATCTGGGAGCTAGTCTGGCCTCCCCGGCGAGGACCACGACGCCACACCTCACCTCGCTGATCTGCAAGATCGATCTGAGCAAGCTGTCGCGCGAGCGGATCATGCGGCTGAAGAAGCTCACGCCCGCCCAGCAGAACGGCCACCTGACGCCCAAGGATCAGCAGACGCACCTGCCCAACGGCTACTCGACTGGCGACTCCAACTCGAACGCTGCTGCAGCGGCGAAGGTGAAGCACGAGCACCCGGTGAAACCGGAGCCCGAGCTGGACGCCGGCTACGAGTCCAAGTTCAAGCCGGGCAACGTCAAGCAGGAGTTCCAGCTGAAGCAGGAGCGGGATCGGGAAAGGGAGCGGGAAAGGGATCGAGAACGCGACCAACCGCCTGGCAGGCGGAGGAAGCGCAGCTCCAGCTCCAGCTCGAGTCCGTACAAGGAGAAGAAGCGGAAAAAGGAGAAGGCCGACCAGCTGCAGATCGGCAAGGAGCTGCTGCCGGTGCCCGTGCTCCTGCCCTCCAACAACCACGAGCGGATGCCCAACCACGACCGCCTCTCCTACGACAAGCTGCAGTTGCTCCGCGAGGATGCGGCCGCCGCAGCAGCAGCAGCAGCAGCTGGAGGTGTTGTTGTGGCCGACGGAGTTGTGGCTCCAAATGGCAGTCCGAGCAAGAAGCTGCTGGCCATGTCACCGCTGCCGCCGCCGCCGACGGCCACCCATGTGCCGCCCGCCACTTGCAACGAGGCGGTGCAAACGACGCCGCCTTCGGTGACGTTGACCACGGCAACGGTGGCCACTGCCCCGGCAGCCAGGCCTCCGCCGATCACGCGGCTCATCTACCGCTCCTACTTCGATCGCGAGGAAGAGCATCCCAGCGATGACCACAGGTGGGTCTTTACTTACTGCATTTCCTGAATCACACACCTAATATTATTTTCGTTTTTAGAAAAAACAATCAGTTCCTGCAGGAGGCCATCAATCGGAAGCACGCCGCCGACTCGGAGCGCGACTCCTTCAACCAAGTGACCTTGTATCTGGAGGCCGTCGTCTACTTCCTGCTCACCGCCGACGCAATGGAGCGCTGCAGCTCCGAGACGGCCACCTACACCATGTACAAGGACACCCTGTCGCTAATTAAGTGAGTAAAGTGTGCCAACCACAACACCTGTGTGCGCCAATCCCTGCGGAAGAGCCTTTGGAAGAGCCCTCGATGCTAACACTCGATCCACTTGCAGGTTCATCTCCACCAAGTTTCGTCCCTATCAGCAGTCGACGAACGGCCAGCACGAAACGCACAACAAAGTGGCCATTCTCAGGTAGCTATTAACTCCCCTAATTCACTTTACTATATAAAATAAATATATCTAATTTCTTTTTCTATTTCTTTAACAGTTTGCGCTGCCAATCGTTGATATCGCTGAAACTATACAAACTTAGGAGGGCCAACTGTCGCGCCATCATCAACAGCCTCACGGACTTCTTTCGCGTGGGCAGAGGAGACATTGTCAATGGCAACACGCCGTCCTCCATATCACCGTCGAACTCGGTTGGCTCCCAGGTGAGTTCACTTGGCAAATAAATAAATGAAGGATTGTTTTCAATCATTTTATCGCTTTTAGGGCTCCGGTTCGAACACGCCGCCTGGCAAAATAGTGCCTCAAGATATACACAATATGCTGTGCAAGCAGAACGAGTATCTGAGTTATTTGAATAGTGCTCACGAGTTGTGGGATCAAGCCGATCGGTTGGTGCGCACAGGCAATCATATAGGTGAGTCCTGATTACCAATACCAGCCAGTCTTTTGCTGATCTATTCTATGATGTATCCTAACAGATTTCTTCCGCGAACTGGACCACGAGAACGGACCGCTCACGCTGCACAGCACCATGCACGAGGTGTTCCGGTATGTGCAGGCGGGCCTCAAGACGCTCAGGGATGCCGTGTCGCATCCGACGCATCAGGCGCACCAGTCGCAGTAGCGACAGCGGAAAGATCAACCGCAAGGTCAGCGGAAACGGAAATGGAAACGAAGACGGGGACGGAAACGGAAACGGAAACACCACCAAACGTGTCTAAATAGAAGTCAGGCCAAATTAGCAACTATTATCTACTACAAGCTACTAATTTAGTTAGTCAGAAGAAGCAGAAGCAGAGAGGAGTTAAAGAAAGCAAAGAAATCGAAACCAACAACCTTCCAAACAGAAAACGAAGATAACCAACAACAAAAAGAAAAAGCAGCAACACAAGAAATGATTTGTTATTAATTTATAATTTTTATATGTATGTATTTTGTATATGCACACCATTTACTTATTTCCTTATGCTCAATTATCGATTGTTTTAAGCATGTTAAGCTTTATATTTATGCCTAGTTTTAATTGATATTACCACAAACGAAAAACAAACACACATTACAAGTTATATTAGCTGTACGACTAGTCTGTAAGCTCGGAACACAAACAACCACCAATCCCAACCCAATCCAAACGCAAACCCAAGCCAACCCATCATCCTGAATACCCAAAAAAAGAAACACACACAAACACTTTAGTTGAATTTTGTTTTCGCATGCGTACATTACAGAGGAGAACGGCTTTTTAAACTGTTTAAGTTTTAGTTAATTTTGGTTTGCAGCCCTGGTAAGACAATGTTAGCAAATATAAAAATATATACACTATCGCCTATATAAAGAAAAGTTATAGTTGTAAATTCTTTGTAATATTTCAATATGAATTATGTTTAACGCAACTATTTTATTAATTTTAAATTAATTTTTTAAAAGCAATCACAACACGTTTCTAGAACAAAATACATGAATGAAAAAACACAATATATATATTAATATATATTTCAAATATATATATATGGAAATGTATCCTTTGTTTGGTTTTATTTGTTCCATTCCACCAACCTGTCCCCAAATCCAAATCCAAATCCGAATACATTCGACTTAATTCATAATGGGTGCCTAAAAAACTCTCACACAGACGCAACAACTAATAGTGCATTAGTAGACTTAAACGAGTTAAAAATCAATCGAAATAGACTTGCCCTCGAAATAGATATGTAAGCTGTACATATAGCCGCCGATATACAAGCAAAAAACATATATTTTTAAATGCCAAAAAGTGAATGCTGTAAACTACTTTAAGCCGATTTCAATCAGCTGAATTTGAATTTGGGATACGAAGGGGATGGGATTTGGGATATGGGATATGGGATGGTGAGCATATGGAACCTATATGTACATATATCGGATAGATCGAAGGCAGCATTTTCTTGTTGACTCTTTTTTTGGCATATACGAAATCGAAAACTACGAAAATCAAAGAGAAAATGTAACGAAAAACAAAACGGAAAGCAAAGAAAATGAAAATGATTATTAACTTATTATTAATAATGGTTCTGGGGAAACAAAGCATTCGCATTCAACAAATGAAACCGAAAACAAACAATTAAATTATAGACAAATTTTAAGTTATCACTAATAAACGCCGATCGAGAATATGCGCAATTCCATTGTGCAATGCAACTAAGTGTAATTATTATAAATTAAATCACATATGTATTTGTTAATTATTAAAACACTGTAAATAATACAAGTACGTAGACAGGAACACAAGGACACACACATGCATATAGTTAAATAAAACATAATTATGTGCATACTTATACAAACATATATATATTGGTATATATAAAGATACATATATATATTTTTATATATATACACGATGAATTAAACTAAACAACGTAGAAATTATAGTTAAATTTTTCAAAACGACAAGATTAACTTGCAGCAATAAGCAACCGACAACAAGAAAACAACAACAAAAAACGGCAACAACAAAACAAGAAAACAACAAACGAAACGCGCCTAGTAATAGTTAATAATTATATTTTGTTAAGCGTTATTGTAGTAAAACAAAGCAAACCGACAGATCGAACAGCAAAACCAACAGAATTATGTTTAAGCTGGACATTGGAAGGAGGAAACGACGAGGCGTAAACCAAAATGAATGCAAGGCGTGTTGTTCATTAACAAAACTAGAAGTAAATATATATTTTGTACAAATATAATTAAATTCAGCCGCAGCTAAAACCAAGTACACTTATTACAGTTTAAGCAACAACAAAGCGAAACAACCAATTTAATATGCAATTACCGTAACAGTAGTTGATAAATCAAACAAATAAAACATCAAAAATTGTAACATTTCAATTTCTGTTCAATTGTTTTATTTTGAATCTCGCGGGGGTAAATCAATATTAATTAAGAGGGTATAATCTAAGGGTTCCAATTGGTCTCGTCGAAATTGGTCAGCCAAATCCAAGATTTTTGGACCAAACGCATTTTGAAGTAACAGGCGAACATAAAGCAGTAGTAGGGTGTTACTCATTGAATTTCTTACTTGCTCTCAAAAGTATGCTACACTTTTTATTGAAAATTTACTCACTAACAAATTTGTTCATTCAAATCGTTTTGCCAAAACCAACATATTCAACCAAACCTAACTTAGTGAGAATGTGGAAAATCAGCAAGAGCACAAAGAATTATACAATTTCTATAGTTCTAGTTTATTTTTCATAATTTAGTACGCTGATGCCGTGTGGATTTCCCGGATGAGTCGGATGAGACCAGTTCGTAGCAGGCCTTCTGTCTGTTCTTTGCCTCAGCCATGACCTTAAATAAGGTTTCAAAACAACAAAATATTAATTACCATTTGTTAATTTTATATTTTTTGGCCGATTTTATATATATTTTCCTTTTTTTTTAATTTTAATCGTGCTTTAAAAATATAGTGTCAGTGTTGGTAAACCCATAAATGGTTCTTGCGGCGCTGCCAACCCGCAAAATAGTGTTTTCTTTGTTTTGCAACACCAAAAGCTGGCAACGTGCGATCGTTTCTTCGAATAATTTTGCCTCGTTTTCTGAATTTTGTTGAAAAACGTAAGTTAACCTTCCATTTTATTATTGACCCAAACGATGTCTGGAACGATGGATAATAAGGAGAATATCTTGGTCAATGTTGGCGAATCGCCCAAGTACAGTCGCAATAAGCGAAGGCGTCTTCAGCGACAACAAGCCAAGATTCGGTCTCAAATTCCTGGATTAAACCCAAGGGAACCTCAACCTGATGGGGTGAATGTGGTTTCCCATCAACAGAGGAAGCGCCGCTCCAATAACCGAGCGTCTGAGTGCACGAGCGAGGAAGATTTCAAGAATAAATTGAAGTTAGTCGCATCCGAAGAAATTACGGATCCGTCGGTCAAGATCAAAGTGAAGTGTCTCGCTACATTGACGAACATGGGGCCGACTTTTTGCTCATCATCTTCCGTGGCTTTAAATACTTTTCCGGACCACGAAAAGCATCACCCGCAGTCTGGGAAGCAGCCAGATCTACTGACCCCGTCTGTGCACCAACATAATTTGAATCAACTTAACCAAATTAAAATTCCCCAACTCAATAGTAACCAATCTGGTTTGATAAGTGGGCAGGCAGCCAAAGATTCGACGCCCCATCATAAAGATGTAAATCAATCAGGATCAAATCCTTCTCTGGATGCCAATCAACAGAGATCTGCCAATAAATTTCAAAATCATCATATTTACCCAAATCGACAGGAAAACTTTCAATTTCAAAACCAACTTTTGCCAGCAGCTCCTTGTTGGAATTTAACGAGTTTTCATTATTCGCAAGGGCTCAGAATTGGAGGGCATGTGAATGGACACCCGAATCCGGTTGAATTGAGGCCATGTAACAAATATAAGTAAGGTAAGTTTCTCAAATAAACTTTAACGAATTTAGGGCTTGTTAATCGGCTTGAATTATGTTAAAGGGTGGCAATTATTGAAAGAGTGATCAATATTCGCTCAGAAAGGCCTCACTTCCCCACAGTTTTAGATGCACTTCGATTTAGTTTTAAAGGCGTAGGACTCCATCGCATAAGCATAAATGAGTTCGTGCGTGTGTGAATTGTTGTTATTGTGCGCAAACAGCAACAAAACAAACCGCATATAAATAAGAAGAGCGAGGGATTGTTGCATACTTATAGGAGGAGGGATGGGGAAGATGGGGCTATTTCGCTCGCAGAGTTCAATGGTCTTTTGACACAAATGATGTCAAGTTGAGCTTGCTCGTCCTACGCTCCCGCTCTCTCGTTCTCTCTCTATCTCTCTCTGGGAGCCAGGCCCCCTCTTATCACCTCCACTAACCTTTAGTCAGCTGCACTCTTGTTGTTGCTTAAGTGTTTGTTTGGGTGCCTCTTCGGCTCTCTTCGCTCCAAAGGCAATGCGGCCGGCTTGCGAATCTCGGCTTTCTCTCTTGTTGGCGTTCGCTCTCTCCTCAATGGAGAACCTACCGCAATTCGTTTCGTGTTCATGGTTGCATTTCCTTGTTTATGTTTTGCGAAGGCAAAATGTAGGGTACATCGGTTGAGTGCCGAGCCAAAGAGAGACCGATTGGGGAGACTGAGCACCAGTACCGTTATGTTGCCGGAGCTGTTGCAGCCTGCGCAACTTGCGGCTGCAACTTTTATTATTTGCAGTCCCTTTGACTTTGCCTCCTTCTTCCTTCTACTATATTTCGTGGCACACTATGTAGCAAATCAATTGTTGGGGCAATCTATATTACAAAATAGTTATAAATATATAAAATTAACATAAGTAAAATTGCCATCCGTACTGTGTATGAGCATAATTTAAGCATGGTGTCTTTTCATTTGCAATATTATATGTAATTTGAATACCTTTTCTTATAAAGTTAGCTTTTTTTTGTTTTAGTTAACGATCTTGCGCTTTTAGGCTCCACTGTGCATGTCAGCGCAAAACTACGCAGTTATGCTGTGCATTCGCCCCATTCTCTTCTTTTGGAACCGTGCTCAACTGTACGCCAATTGGAGGAGGAGCTGCTGCTGCCGCAGCCGCCGCGGACTGCGACGCGGCAGCGCTGTTGTGGGTCCTGGCTGCAGTTGTCCTGGCGGCAATCGAACACTTTAATCATTTAGTTCTTGCACTCTCCGGCAGCAGTTGTGTTTTTTGATTCTCGTCGTATTGTCGTCGTTTCTGAATTGTTGTATATCGGTATCAAAAGTACACACATCTTGCATACTCACGCAACTACGCCCACATATATGTTGTATACATACGTGTGCCTACTTGCACGTAGTGTTTTATGCATCGGAATCAGTTCGAAAACCCTTATTGTGTGCGGGCTCAACTAAGTTTTGAAACTCATTTGCAACGAAGGAAGATTTCCAAGTTATTTTTCGAAAATTGTGAACATTTGTGTGGTATAGTTTGCGGCGTTGCCGAATAAAAGTAAGCAAACTAAAGAAGAAAGCTCCGGAAAAAGTTACAGCACTTTATTTGGCTTGCACAAAATGCAAAATGCCCACACCCAAAGTCGATTTTTCGCCATGCATACGTATGTGTGTGTGAATAGTAAAACGGGGCTCAATGGGGCGGCTCGCAGTCGGCGAAATCTCAATTTCTCTACACCCTGATATATATTTGCCGCCTACACACACAAACACACAAATCCTGCAGCTGCGTTTCGTGCTACGCCGGCATCGCAGCTTTTGTTCGGCTGCCTGCAGCCGCCATTTAACCCAAAAAACGACTTACAGGAGCGGACTTTCTTGGAGGTGTCGATCCCCCGTAGTTGTAGTTAATTTGACATATAAAAAATGCTTTTATTGCCCACTATCAAAAAAATTAGATTTAAATATTGAAACAAAACTATTAATTTTTTTATTAATAATGGTTAAAAAAAATTTAGTTTTATAAGTTTATTTCGCCCATTCCTTATTAAGGAACTTAACAATCTACTTAAGCCTTTAAATAGTTTTTTGTGAAACAATTAATTTTTTATTTTTGTGATATATTTAAAGTAATTTCGTTTTCGAAGCGCCTGATCACACAGGCTCCACTTTGATCCGTCCCTGCTTAGGCAGCGCTGTCGCCGTCGACGCCAGTTTGCAGCTAAGCTTATTCTATGAGCCCGTCTCGCTCTCACTCTCCCTCCTGCGCTCTTTCCATTGCATATATTGTGGCGCGCTCAGCTGACTGCTGCGCTTCCGCTGCAGCCTGTGCTCTCACTCTCTTTCTGACTATATATCCTGTTTATTTTTGCCGCACCCAAATGCAAACGGCCTCAGAAATAGTCCTGAGATATTCCGCTGCTTTCCTTACCCATTTCTTTTCTGAGCTCTTTGCCGTACTCTCTCCTTTCATCCTTTGCCAAGGTGTGTCACTTTTTTGTTTTGTTCCTGCCCTTTGAATTCGTCCTCCTCCCCACCACAGTGAACGTGTGCTGCATAGGTATGTGCAATTATATTCATCAATTAGCCGGAAACAATTTTAAACTATTTATGAATGAAAATTAATGGTTGTAAACTGTTATTAGGGTGCTGGAATATTCTTTGCTGAAAGGAGTTTGGAGTTTTTAGGTTTGATCCGTTAGCATAGCCAAATAAATTGGGTATTGAGTTTTGGAAAATTTTACCCACATAGGATGACTAAATCTTTCGAGTTACCTGCCATTTTACAAATCAGCATTAATAAGTTAGCAAAGCAAACTTGTAAACTAGTAAACTTGTGATAACTTGTTTAAACAACTGCTTTGGCTAAGAGGGCCACAACAGATTTCCTCCTGAGCTTACCACCATAACAGCTGTTTTTGAAACTGCATTATGAAATTACGGGCGACTCCGACACAAACTCTTTTGAATTTACATTTTACAAGTTCCCATAACGCGATTATAAAAATACTTTGCACGCAATTGTGTGTGTTTGCGCAAAATCCAATTATAAGTTACCTCCGCCTTCAACCATCTCCGGAATCCACCTTACGGATATATAGGCAAACCTATAGCCGTGTAAGTTGTGATCCATTCTCATCATGTGTCTCTTCCCTGCGAGCGGGAAATGAGCAATCGCCAAGTTCTGGCCAAGAAGCCTCCACTCTCTCGGTTTTCCGCTCGGCTCTCTACCGATTCTTGGACATATAGTACTGCTCGCCTCGTCGGCGGGGCATAAAAATAATTTCCACGCCGCTCGGTAAATCAGTTTATTTCTGTTCTGTTGAGTTGCAGGAACGCGTTCTTTTCTACTTTCCGTTCAGTTTTATTTCCTTATTATTATTGTTATTACGAATTTGTTTCACGTTTCGGTTTGGCTTGGTTTTTCATTTTCAAACGGTCCACAATCAACGCAATTTGATTAATTATATTCCAGAAATTATTTGCTTCGGTTAATTTGTATGAGTATAACTTTTCCGTTCGCCTCGCTTTTTGTTTTGTGGAGCGCTTTCTCGATCGGTTTTCGTTTGGTTCGGTTATTATTAAAGATATAAAACCAAACATCCCCCGAAAATTGTTTCGTAATCGCGAAGAAACCAGCAAATCAGCAACCATTTTAATTCGATTAGCCCGGATAAAAATCAGAGGTAACCAGGCTACTGACACGACCCCTTCCTTTATGTAATTTAATAAGATATTTCAAAATTTTGGCATTTCTCTGAATCACTGGCTCCTCTCCTTGCTAACAAGCTACTTAACCTCAAACACGAGTCGTCAGCATCTCGCATCAGCTGCGATCGGGCTGTTGTTGCTTTAAAAATATTTTCGAAAATATAATCTTGCCGGCTACGCAGCGGCGCAATTCCCCGCCCTTGTGCCCCGCCCTTCCCTCTTCCCAAGATTTGATTGTTTATTTTTAAAATATAACTTTTTCGCACGATTTGCGGCGTTGAGTGCAACAAATTGAAAACTTTTACTAAAGGTAAATTTTCGCCACCCATAGACATCGTCGAAGAAACGAAAAATTCTCTGTATTTGTAAAAACAGAAATTTTTGTATACCCTTGTAGAGGTTATAATAATTTAAAATGATTACCAACCGAAATGTTTAAAAAAGATTACAGAGTGCCTTATTGCATTTACTGCCTTATTGGTTGCCCTTAACTGTTTCGCTACAGACTTCGTGGTTGCATACTGAATAATTGTGTGCCACTATCATAAAGGCCAATTTCAATGTGAACTAAAAATACTTTTTTTTGCCAATTTTTTGTTTGGCCAACAAGAAGCAGATACACCGAACGAACAAGGCAAGCAGCCACAAAATCAGGAAACAAGCCATACGTCAGACGGTTATTTAAATCTATAAACAATAACTCGTTTGCGATATCCATTCAAGTTCAAGTGCCCTTACCTACAAAAGCATGAGTGAATTGCTTTTTATAAAAACCAATGAGCAATGTATTTAAATAATTCAATGTGTTAGACTGTTAGTGATATTCGATAATCTTCGTTTGCTGGGCCTTCAAATCAATTACCTCTTTCAGGGAAGGCAATTTTAATTGCATCGATTTTCCAGTCAATACTTTGGTATTTTGGCCCTATTTGCATTCACCAGCCAGTCAGTCTGTCTGTTTGCCAAGCCAGCCAGCAAATTTGCCAACCACAGAAGCGAAGAACCCTCGACATTTGTATGGGTTTATTCAAAATGTTTACTCTTGTTATTCCGTCATTCCACGAACAGACCCGCATTTCATTTAAATTAAATTAAAATAATTGATTTTTATTGTAACTTTGTTTTTTGTTCTACTTTTCGACTTTCAGTAAAATTTCTGGCATACCATATAACTTATACGTAGTGGATATCGTTGGTGGCGCGCTTTTAACTAGGCTATAGTAAAAGCTGAAATCAGGCAGCACAATTCTTTAACCACTGCGGTTGGTCGACGTCTGTATCTGAAAAGGGTGAGTAAAAGCTTATACTTTAGCCGATTTAGAACTTTATCTGACATCTCTTATGTTTCAGACTTCACAGCAGTATTATATCTACAGTCACTTATTTGATTTACTCACCATCTTTATCTCTGTCTATTGAACAAATTTTCTAATAACAAAGCCGTAAAGTTGAAAATAATCAAGTCAATAGCTGTGGTCACAGTAATAGCTAACTTACATTTAAAACCATTCTAATCGATTTTTAAAACATATTTGTGCGGTTATCCATTTGGCATTACTTTGACCACATCAATGTAAAGGGACTTTTTCCCTTGTCCTAGAACCATTGTATATGCACCTAGTTTTTAACAAGGAAATCCCCGCAGGAGCAGCTTCTGCATTATGGTCGAGGGTCAAACAGCCGTGCAACAGCAGCAACAACAGCCTTCCGGAGCGGGCGGTGCCAGTGGCGTTGGGGGCACCACCGGAACCGGCGGAGGATCGACATCCGCCAATAATGTGGCCAACAGCCAAGCTCAAACAAACGGAGGCACCACTGCGGCATCGACCACGTCAGCGGGCACCGGATCCACAACAAATGCGGCTGGTGGTGGCCAAGCCTCTGCCAACAATGCGGCGAACAACAATAATAACAACAATAACAACTCCACGGCAAACAACAACAATAACGAGCCAGACCCCAAGACCAATTTGATTGTTAACTACTTGCCACAGACGATGTCGCAGGACGAGATTCGTTCGCTGTTCGTTAGCTTTGGTGAGGTGGAAAGCTGCAAGTTAATACGGGACAAGGTGACAGGTGAGCACAATTAAGCCAAGGCTGTCAAGGATTCTTTGAAAGCATGCAATAACTGAATCTTTCTCATTTTGCTCGTAGGCCAAAGTTTGGGTTATGGATTCGTCAACTACGTTAAGCAGGAGGACGCGGAAAAGGCAATCAACGCGTTGAATGGCCTGCGGCTGCAGAACAAAACCATTAAGGTCTCCATTGCTCGCCCCAGCTCCGAGAGTATCAAGGGTGCCAATCTCTATGTATCGGGTCTTCCAAAAAATATGACACAGTCGGATTTGGAATCATTGTTCAGTCCATACGGCAAGATCATAACCTCGCGTATTCTTTGTGATAATATCACTGGTAAGTTATGATCAACGACAGAGGCGAGAATATATGGTAGATATCAATAGTTAAAATATGAAAACAAAAGGAAAGTCAGATATATCTGATTGTAGTCTTTTCGAAAAGCATGACCAACTAAATTTGATTGCTAAAAATTTCTTGAATTAATTTAAGCCTATAGCCTGCACATTTTATTATATTTTTGCTGGCGCTCCACAATATATTCTCTGTTTTAATTACTGAATTATAATTAATGCAAATTTTATTTACAACTTTATTTTTACATGTAATACCAAATAAGATGAACATGCGCCGGGTATGTTTTTATTTTATTTCTCTTATGTTTAACTATATAAACCTGCTGTTCATCGCTCATGAAGTAACACATATAATACCATTTAAATTAGAAGAGTAGCGATAACCATGCTTAACGCAATAGTAAATTAACCCAGAGGTTAACAACATTTATAAATTATTTCTGGTGAATATTAATAATAAATTCAAAAATACCGGATTAACTTTTGATTTTAACTAAAAAATGTATTTTAAAAGATTCTTTACTTCTGGGAAATTTCCCATTTAATATTCATTAGATATCTTTAAAGCATGGTTCACAAATATTAAAGTTCTTATGCTTTAACCTTGCCTCTGCATAATTTTCATCCGCTGCACATTAGCCTATATTTAGTATATCGTCGGATACTGACCGCTTGGCTGGTTTCAGGTCTCTCCAAGGGCGTTGGCTTTATACGCTTCGATCAGCGATTTGAGGCCGATCGGGCCATCAAGGAGCTGAACGGCACAACTCCGAAGAATTCCACCGAACCGATAACCGTGAAGTTCGCCAACAATCCTAGCAGCAACAAGAACAGCATGCAGCCGCTGGCAGCTTACATAGCGCCCCAAAACGCACGGGGCGGTCGAGCTTTTCCGGCCAACGCTGCTGCCGGAGCGGCAGCTGCCGCCGCTGCAGCTGCCATTCATCCCAACGCGGGTCGTTACAGGTCAGCAAATACTGTGGGACTAGGACTTTTACTTCTTTTACTCTTAATTTTTTTATTATAAGCCACTTTCGAACTGAATTAATATAAACTTTCCTCGCCCGCAGCTCTGTAATCTCGCGCTACTCACCGCTGACCAGCGACCTGATCACCAACGGCATGATCCAAGGCAACACCATTGCCAGCTCGGGCTGGTGTATTTTCGTCTACAACCTGGCACCCGAGACCGAGGAGAACGTGCTGTGGCAGCTGTTTGGGCCATTCGGAGCCGTGCAGTCCGTCAAGGTAAGTTTCGAGAATGCTCGATATGCTCTGGAGGTATATAAACAGAATCAGGATCAGACTTTTGATGTGAAATATTATATATAATATTTAAGCTTTTAAATGTGAAGATAAATGATTGTAATCATTTTTCCCAGGTGATCCGTGACCTGCAGAGCAACAAGTGCAAGGGCTTCGGCTTTGTCACCATGACAAACTACGAGGAGGCGGTCCTGGCCATTCAGTCGCTTAACGGCTACACACTTGGCAACCGAGTGCTTCAGGTCAGCTTCAAGACCAACAAGAACAAGCAAACGTAATTATTAACCAAGTTGGCTGCTGTTGTCAATGCCAATGCGGCGGCGGCGGCTTTGGCGGCCAATGGTCTAGTCATCCACAATCAACACCACCACCACAGCAACATCGGTAGCATAAGCAATAGTAACAACAGCAACGGCTGCAGCGCGGCAGCCCATCCACTCGGCAAGTACGTTAACCACAGCAACAACAGGCAGCACAACACCAACAGCAACATCAGCAGCACCGCTGGCAAGCAGAAGCAGCCGGCAACCTCGAGCAGCAAGCAACAATCAACGGCGCCACCAAAGAGATCGGCAACCAGCAGTGCGACAACATCAGAAGAGGTGGCCACCGCAGCCACCAACAGCAGCAGCAGTAGTCACTCGCTGTCCAGCGGCGAGGTCGGAGCCCCCGCCTCGGCCACCGCCACCGCTGCATCCTCCTCGTCTTCGTCGAGCAACAACATCCTGAAGACCTCCACGAAGTTCATCTACAACAAGCCCCAGAACCACTACGAGTTGCTGCAGCAGCAGCTGCAGCTTCAGCAAGAGTTCGCCCAGTTCCTGACCAACGTGGCCAACAGCGCCGCGGCCCAACCCGGGAACAGCTCCACCAGCGCGGGGAGCCAGCGCAACGGAAGCGGAGGCACCATCAACATGGGACTGGGAATGGCGGCCAACTCATCCGGCGGCGGTTCGGTAGTGGGCAACAAGAACGGCAACAGCAGCAGTGGCTACATGCCCACCTGGTCTAATTGGTTCTTTTAATGTTCGACTTGGTTTTGTCATCAGCCCACTTCATGGATCCTTTGTAAATTTAAGCATAATTACTCAGCTTTGGTTAAATGCGCTAACTTTGAAGAACGCAAAACAATTGATTTATTAATTTTTTTTTTAACTTTTATTTGTTTTTTTTAGTGAAACTTAAAAATATGTTTCTTACGTTAAATAAGTTGTGAAATCGATTTTTTGTTTGTTTGACTATACTTTTGTTTATCCTAGCCTAGATTCAATGTGTAAGACCTAACATTTTCGTTGATGCACTTTTAAAACGTCTAGTCGACTTTCGCAAAGAGAATAACTTCCAGAAAGATAGAGGAAACAGAAAGGTAAAGCTGTAGTTAAGTTTTTGTTTGAGATGTAGAAGAAAGCATACTCTACGGATATTTTAAAACAGAGAATAATAAATACAATTTGCAGGCATAGAAGCCCCAATCCACCAAAAAAAAAGAAAAGAAAAGGAAACAAACTTGACAAATATTTAAGCTATAAATAAATGTATAAAATGAGATACGGAAAACAGAACTGAATGCGTAAACAGATAGAGGCGTTTGGCTTATAGTCAAACCACTTTGCAAATAGACAATGCAGAATGAGGAGGAAAGCTAGATGCAGAAAAAATGAAACAGCAAAATAAATAAGACATACATGTGTTTATGTTTTATAAATTTAATGTATAACTTTTGCTAAAAATAAATGATGTATGCATAATAATACACTTAAACCTTTTATTCGTAACATTTGTTAAATTACCCAGTAAACCTTCGCCTAGTCACTTTCATGAGTTAATCATTACCTTTCGGTATATAACATAGATCTAGGCTCTCTAAAATCTTGGTAGTGACATTAACGTGAAATCGGGTCAGCAGATGAGCGAGCAAAAAAGAGCTGAGAGAAAAACACCCATGAGAATTTCTTCAAATACAACGAATAAATATTTAAGAAAATTTGAAATCAGCAAGTGGAATAAAATACCTGTCAAATCAGAGAGAGAGAGAGAGTTATAATAAAGAGTAATCAACGATTGTAAAGCTTAAACAAGAGCCAGCTAAGTAATCTAAGCACGCCACTCCAATCGAAGTTAATGTAACTAAAGACAAAGATCAGAACAAAGTCCCTCCCTAGAAAAGCAAGCGACAAGAAACAAAAGTAAACAATGCGAGATGTACGTAACATAGATGACAAAACGCGTTTCAGCCTAACGAATTTGATTAAGCCCAACTCAACAGCAATAACGTAAACTAAAACAAACAAACGACAAATTAAAAAATTGCCAAACTAAATATAGCAAATTTTAAAACACAAAAATGGACGTGAAAATTGAAAGCGTGAATCAAGCTGATATATGGAAGTTTTTCGAGAGCCTGGCATTGACAAAATTGGAAACGATATACATACAGATATAGATAACATGGTGCTTCACAGAATTCCTTTTGAAAAAACCTAAACGCAAATGAGATTTTTTTAAAATATATTTTTATTTTAAAAAAACTTGATTTGAAGTTGCTCGGAAAACTATGTAACCCCACACTTTTATTTGTAAGATTTCTTTTCATTTCTAACGAGCCGAGACCCCGAAATGAAAAAGTGGAAATGTTACACGACATTGACTATGCTATATCTCTATAAAATCTATAACTATTTATGAAAACTATTACATATGATTAACAATATATTGATGTTGTGTATTGCAAATTTTAAATGTTTATACATACATGCATACCACGAAAAAATTATGAATACTAATTCATGGCATGCATTAACAAACCGGAAATCCATTTTCATGTATACGTCAAGTAAATTTATTGCATACTATTTAAAACTAATTACCATGAAAGAATTATATACAAAAATATATTAACTACATGTATCGTTAAGGGCAACGGTTGCGATTATTAGGTATGTATGTGTGTAGTGCATAGAGAAACCGAAACGCCAAGCCTCCAATATTTGTAGAGCCCAACGGCTTTTTCTCCCCTACTCCTCTTAAATCTACTAGAGAATCCAAGAAAAAAACGAACCCCTACATTACTCACACTCATGCGCAAAAGCTTGACTGAAAATAAAATTGAAATTCTGGCTTTTAAGCGGTAAATTAGAAGTAATACCTTCCAGCAAGTCTCAAAGCAAGTTCAAGAAAACTCAACCTAAGAAAAAAATATAAGAAGAACACCAAATGAAATGTTTTTTATACAAGATGTAAAAAATGAGGCACAATTTTTGGTGCAAGGGTGCGTTGCAGGGGAAGAGCTGACATGAATAGAGATGCTTCGTCACGGTATCTAGGCAAACGCAGATAAGGGAATGAAAAGCATGAACAACAACAAAAAGCAATCGATTATATACATTTTTTAAGATGAAATGTTTTATAAATGATAAATACAAATGGAAGAAAACCAAGAAAGTATTTTAAAAATTTAAATATATACATGAATACTATATACAATATATTATATTATATATACATATTAAATACTTAATGGGTATGGTAACGAACAAAAACACCGCACAATAATATACAAAACAAAACGAAATCGAGGAAAGGGAATGGCACGTCAAGGGAGGAGAAACATACGTAAATACAAAAGAAATACCAGAAAGTTAAACTAAATGCAGAAAAGACTAACGAATCGAAAGAACTATGAAACCAGCAAATTTATAATTTTTACATGGAAAACGCAATAATGTTAACATTTAAAGAAGACGAAAACAAAGCGCATATCTTGAAAACAAAGGCAGAGTACTCGTATCGTACTCGTACTCGTACTGGTACTCGTATTGAGGAGGGATCTCAAGCAACGGAACGAAATCGAAGACACAAAGAAAATCGACAAGTTACCACAAATTTTAACTACCAAGTGAAAAGGCTTAATTACGGCACACTTTTATACTTTTACACCAAAACAAACGAAATGAAACAAAAGCAAAAACCAAAGACGTATGTATAAATGGCGATCGATCGTTCACCGTGCAACATCGTTTCTCGATGCACCTTCGTGTTTTGAAGCCAATAAGGTTGTGCAAATGCCTGCAGACGCAACCGGAACCGGAAGTCTGCAGCGCGCCCTTTTTGAGCTGGTTGTACAAAACGGATAATTATGTACCGCTTGCAGCCAGCTTAAAATGTCTGTTTCTCTTACACAGATCACACACAAGCCCCACACAGACACACTCTCTTAACCCACTAGTCTCACTTAAATGAATGTTGAATAGCAAGAATCGAAGAAATACTATAAACCACTCGTGTGAAAACAAAATGAAAATCTATCTGAGAAGTGTAATTGATGGCTTTTAGGTGTAGCTATATATATGCAGGAAACTGGCGCCCCGGACGATCTGTTAGATTCCCAAAGATGAATGTAGGGCAAGCAATATTATCTTAGCAGGAATTCGCTGCTCAATCGTTTCCCCTTATTTTTTCCTTGCGGAAATCCGGAAGTTGGGTTGATAGTCTCCCCCGGCCCAGATCTTTCTTTCAGCTGTAGCATCCTCTAACAAGACCCGGCTAACGATCACATTACAAGGAAACGAAATAACATTTTGTAGTGCAAGTCATCAGTCAGTTTCGGACGGAAAGACGCTCTTTATATATGTTTAAATGTTCAAGTAAGAAATGGAAACACTTAAAATATATTATAAATTAATTAAAACCAAATCTTAGTCGAAACGAACTTAGTCAAAGGTACTAATTTTAAGCACTATTGTTAAACGCAAGTCAAAGGCAACGGATGAAGGAATCACTTTAGCCAAAACGGTAACAAAAATATTGAATCTTAACTGAACTCAGAAACTCTAGTGGCATTCGCTCTTTCAAGCTCAACATAAGTTAACGAACATATTGAATTCCACATAACAGTTTAAACTTATTTCTATTCGTCTATCGGTTAGCTTGCATAATACATTATGCCACATATTATAAATGGAAAACTATGCAAGTTTTTTTCTCGTCGTTATAAAACATAGTCAAAATATTGGTGGACAGTATCGTATTGTAGTAGCAAATATGTATTTATCTTTAATCATCACAGAAGAAAAGTGAAAACAATTATTCCAATTTAATTAAAGTGCATAAATTGTATATTGAATTATTGTCGATTTCTCTCATATGGACACAAAACCTTAACGATTTTCTTCAAATTTTCATTAAATTACTTAAACGACAAAAACCAAGAAACCGAAACGAAACAAAATCACAATATTAAGTGCGGAAAATGTCAAGCAAATTTATATAGCATATTTACGGTATACTCTGTGCAAGATTTATTAAGAATCAATTATACTTCATTATGGATTACTCTGAGAATTTACAAACAAACACACACTACACACGATGAATGAAAGCAACAATTTATTCAAATAAAGCTATGAAATGATGTGTTTAAAAAACATAAGTTGAATCCTTATTTCGAATGTTGGGCGGTGTTATAAAATTGTACATTTCGTTCTAAAAAAACCAACTAGTTTCATGTGCTTACAATCCAAAGTTTTTATTCGAATTTTAGTAATACAGCGGATAAATTATAGATTTTAATAAGGACATAATTAAAATCTGCTTAAATCGTTTAATATTTATGTTACATTTGAAATTGGATCACTGGCTTTTCAATTTTTAGCTTAATACATATAAGGGGGAGAAGATTAAGAATTTTAGAAGTAATATAGTTTTCTACACTGCCATTTCCATCTTTATCTTCGGATAGGGATTGTAGCCGACAATCTCAAAGTCATCAAAGCGGAAGTCCTCGATGTCCTGCACCTGGCGCTTAATCACTAGCTTGGGAAAGGGACGTGGAGTGCGCGTCAGCTGCTCCTTCAGTGGTTCCACGTGGTTCAGATAGACGTGCGCGTCACCCAGGGTGTGCACGAAGTCGCCCGGCTTGAGACCCGTTACATGGGCAATCATGTAGGTGAGCAGGGCGTAGGACGCGATATTAAAGGGTACGCCCAGGCCCATGTCGGCACTCCTCTGGTACAGCTGGCAGGAAAGTTCACCGCGCGTTTGGGAAACGTAGAACTGCGCCAGGCAATGGCACGGAGGAAGAGCCATTTTCGGTATGTCCAACGGATTCCACGCCGACATGATGATGCGCCTGTCCGACGGGTTGTTCTTAATGGTGTCGATCACATGGCGCAACTGGTCGACGCCCTTGCCTGTGTAGTCGTCGTCGCAGGTTCCGTACTCCGCCCCAAAGTGGCGCCACTGGAAGCCATACACCGGTCCCAGATCACCCACGGCGCGCTCCGTGTGTCCCAGCTTGTCTAGGAACTCTCTAGTGCAGTTCTCATCCCAGATGTGAACGTTCTTCGCCTGCAGTAGCTTGGCGTCCGTCTTGCCCGCCACGAACCAGAGCAGCTCCTCGGCCACCCCGCGAAAGAAGACGCGCTTGGTCGTCAGCAAAGGAAAAGAATCCCTCAAGTTAAACCGCATCTGACTGCCAAAGACGGATAGAGTGCCAACCCTTGTCCGGTCCATTCGCTCCTCACCATTTGCGATGATGTGTCGCAGCATGTCCAGATATTGCTCCTCATCCCGATTAACCGGCTTCTCCGATGGCTCATTCTTGGCCTCCTCCTTCAAAAGCAAGGCATTTTCCTTGTTTGGCGTAGCAACCATTTCGCAAATCTTTAGTTCGGATGAATAAGAAGAAATGAATGCCTGATATTTGGCGGGAAGGAATTCATGTTTTTTGTCAACACGAAGCACAACACATAGAAAAGATATTTCGAATGGGTGGGCAGCACCAACTGGAGCGATTATACCTATCGATATTTTCCGTTAAAAGCGGAAACTTTTGAATAACGGACCAAATAAAGTATATTTTGAAAAATTAATTTTCTGTACCTAAAGTATCTAAGGATTTATATCCTTAAAATTTAACTAGAATAACTTCAGAATGCGATAGTAGCTTACTTTATTCAAAAATACAAATTCGACTGGTCGATCTACAACAGAATGTAAAAGTGAAATGAAGTGTAATGACGGTTTAACAACTAAATCGGTCCGTACCTATTGTACAGCCTTGGATTAATAAATAATAAAACCAAATCTTAGTTACAAACAGATTAAATGTGTCGAATTATGAAGTTCCCAAAACACAATGGTCGTACATCTAAATATTGAAGAACACGGTAATGGGACAGTGGTCGCTGCCCATACACTGCGATCGAATCTCGTGCTCCACTACTTTGGGAAGAAATCGCTCCGAGACCAGGCAATAGTCGAGACGCCAGCCGACGTTGCGTGCCCGCGCATTGGCCATATAAGTCCAAAAGGTGTAGGCGCCCTTACGGTCGGGGTATAGGTGCCTAAACGAGTCCACGAAACCAAGGCTCAATAGCTCCGTCATCTTGTCGCGCTCCTCCTGTGTGAAGCCGGCGTTCTTGGTGTTCGCCTTCGGGTTCTGCAGATCGATTGGCATATGGGACACGTTCATGTCACCGCAGATGACTACAGGCTTCAGAGCGTCTAACTTCTGCACGTACGCCTGAAAGAGCTTTTCCCAGCGCATGCGTGACTCCAAATTAACCAGCTTTCGACCAGAATTCGGCACATACACATTGATTAGGTAGAACTTTTCGTACTCCGCCGTAATCATCCGTCCCACGTCGTCGAACTCCTCGTTGCCAATGCCGTACTCAACGTTTATCGGCATGATCTTGCTGTAGACAGCGACGCCAGCATAACCACCCGGCATGCACAGCCAATAGGGATGGTAGCCTGGCAAGCGAGTCACCTCGTCCGGCAGCTGATCGTTTGCGCACTTGGTTTCCTGGAAAACGATGTTGGATAACCCTTAATTTTTAAATGGGAGCATTTTAGCTGACCTGCAGGCAGAAAATGTCAGGCTCTTCAAGATCCAGCAACTGAAGGCCATCCTTTTTTAGCCAAGCTCTCAGACCGGCCACATTCCAGCTGGATATTTTCAAGTTAAACGTTTTTTCGACTGGCAAGGCAAAAGATTCTTTATCCAAAGTCCCAATGGATTTGACATCCCCCTTCTTGGCTGTCTTGTTTGCTGGAAAACAAAAGTTGAGCATGTTTTGCAAACTTTTCAATACGGCAGCTCCACCGCAACCGGACTGCTCCGCCAACATACTTTTCGAGCTGACCTCCTCATCGTCTTCGTCGTTTTCAATCTCTGCGGCTGCCTTTTTCCGACTGCGACCTGTGAGTGGGGACAAGTTAAGTATGACACTGAGATTTTAGTCCTCTTGAGTTCGTTGCCTACCTGGTTTGCTTACAGCTGCAGGCTCTGCTGCCTCCTCTTTATTTTCTACCTTTCCAACTGCCTTTTTCCGACCTCGCACTGCTAAAGAAAGTAGTTTAAAAATGGTTCTTAGATTTGTGAGTTCAGAAAGTTCTATTCACCTGGTTTGTTTTCTGTTGAGGGTTCGGGCTCCGCTCCATTTTCCTTATCATTGGATATCTTCAGACCTCGCTTTTTAACAGGCGCTGGCTGCTCTTCTTTGGCCTCTTTCTTGGCTCGTGACTTGGTGGTCTTGCCTTCAGCTTTGGGCGCATTTTCATCCGCAGCATCGCTGTCTTTTATTTGTTTGGTACGTTTTTTTGCCGCTGCTTTTGGCGGAACTTCTTTTACTTCGGGCTTAGCATCACCTACACCCTCGGGTTCCGGTTCGACCACCTTGGTTTTCTTGGTTCGCTTGCTAGCAGCCTTTGGAGGCTCCTCATCCACTTCTTCCTCCTCGAGAGCAGCTGCGATTTCCGAGTCTGCTAGTCGCTTGGTTCCGCGTGCCCGCTTGGCAGTCGCTGTTTCAGCTTTCTGGTTCACTGGTTCTTCCTGGTTCGCCGGTGATGCTTCCTTTTTAGTCCTTCGTTTGGGAGGTGCTGCCGGCTCCTCCGACCCATTTGCCTCGGCCGCCGACTCCTTTCGCTTTCGTCCCCTGGCTTTTGGTTCTTCGGCAGCCGCTGGTTTCTCAGTCTTCGAGCGTCCCTTTGACGAAACAGCCGCCTCTTCCTCTGGCGCAGAAGTGGTATCCTTCTTGGCCCTAGCTTTTGCTGCTTTGCCAGATGGGTCAGCGTCTGCAGTCGCCTTTTTGGCGCGTCCCTTTGGCTTAGACACCACCGCCTCCTCACCGTTTTCTTCTGTATCCTTTGGTTGCTGTTTTTTTTTTCCACGTGCAACTGCCGGGGGAGCCTGTTCCGACTCAACTTCCGAAGACTGTTCCACAGCAACGGTTGTCTTGGTGGCCTTTTTAGAGCGTGGCTTTCCCTTCGTCGAAACTTTAGCTTCTTCGCCGGCAGCGGGGTTTTGGTCGGCGGCGACATTTCCTATCCCATTTGGAGTGGGATCAGTGGGCTCAGATGGCACCGCCTCTGTTTGCTTTTTCAAGGCCTTGGCGCGGGGCATTGTGCAGTGTTGAGGTCTGGTAAAAGAGATTAACTTTTCGCAGCTATATGAAAATAATTTCACCGAAAATCTATTTTTTCTGAAGGTTGTGTTTCACTGCCGATGCCGCTTCTTTCGCCACCCGATATCAACAAAAAGAAAACTGCGCGGGCAACGCGATTTTGCAAGCCTGTCGATAGCGCGGTTTTGAACACTGTTTTTGTTTCATCTCTAAATACAAAAGTTGTACAATTTTTTTCACTTTTAATGAATGATAACTGATAAGTTTGCAGCCCTAAAAAAACTGAATTAATTTCGTTGCTTTGAAGTCAGTATTGTTGATTTAAAAAAATTGTAATTGACTTGACATAAAATTATGAAACTGAAACTGTCTTAGACAACCTTTTAAGGGGCACAACTAGTGTGACGGACTAAAAACAAGGGTATTTTTGGGAGTTTTTATAAAAAAAACTACTTTATCAATTATTTCAAAATTTTCAGAATATATTTATACATGTTTTTAGAATATACAGTGAAATTTTTGAAGAAAAAAAATTAAATATTTTTTAAGTTTTAGTCGATCTCCAAGGGCGCTAAAAAAAAGGCCTTAACTGCTGTAGTGATTCCGTCCTTCTCCGTGGATTAAATCAAAAAATAAAAAATTCTTGTTAAACTAGATAATATTGTCTGTACAATGAACTACGATAAAAAATATCAAAAATTGACAATATGGCGGCATTTAAAAAAATTCGAATTTTACTCAAAATTTTGGTCGTTTTTGGCCTGCCAAAATTCGAATTTTAATCAGATTAAAACACGCAACTTTTTTAGATATCGATTTTAAATTTTAATATGTTATTTTTAAAGGTGTATTCCACCAAAATATGAAAAATTTTTTTTGATTTTTTCAAAACTTCACACTAGCTGTGCCCCTTAATATGTTTGCCCATGCATTATTGGTGCTTTTACCAACACTAACTTTTTAGCATTAATTGCAAATAGGTCCCCGCTGCGGCTATTTTTTAAAAATTTGCCACAGTCCGATGATTTATTAGTCTATTTTTGTTTTCAAAGGAACAATAATCAAAGAAAGATTACACAGGTAACGTAAAAAACTACCCTAATAATTTGGCCCGATTGCAACGCTCCACAATGCCAAGTGAAATAATTACCCTGCAGCTGGGACAATGCGGAAATCAAAGTGAGTTTTGCGAATCAAGGATAAATCCAGGTTATTTATAACTCTCTTCCCCAGTTGGCTTTGAGTTCTGGAAGAGATTGTGCCTTGAGCATGGCATCTCGCCGAGCGGCGTACTGGAGGACTTCGCCAACGATGGCATGGACCGGAAGGATGTGTTTTTCTATCAGGCTGACGACGACCACTACATACCGCGGGCAGTGCTTTTAGACCTGGAACCAAGAGTTATTAATAACATAATGGGGTCAGCTTACTCCAAGGTCGGTTTTGAGAAAAAAAGTTTAATCCTTAAGGCTAATCACACCGTTGTTTCCCCAGCTCTATAACCCCGAAAATGTATACCTATCTAAACATGGCGGTGGAGCTGGCAACAACTGGGCCTCCGGTTACAGCCAGGGTGACAAGCTGCAAGAGGAGGTTTTTGACATCATTGACCGCGAGGCCGACGGAAGCGATTCGCTGGAGGGCTTTATACTATGTCACTCGATTGCGGGTGGCACGGGTTCGGGAATGGGTTCTTTTATCATGGAACGGCTGGCGGACCGCTATCCTAAAAAGCTGATACAAACGTTTAGTGTATTTCCAAATCAGGACGAAATCAGTGACGTTGTTGTGCAGCCCTATAACTCCATGTTAACCCTGAAGCGACTGACCACGGCGGCGGACAGTGTGGTCGTTTTAGACAACACAGCCCTCAACCGAATCGCCTGCGATCGCCTACACATCCAGAATCCGAGCTTTTCCCAGATCAACAATCTGGTTTCCACCATAATGAGCGTAAGCACGACCACGCTGCGGTATCCGTCTTACATGAACAACAATCTCATCGGTCTGATGGCGCCCCTGATCCCGACACCCCAGTTGCACTTTCTCATGACCGGTTACACGCCGCTAACGAGCGACTCGGACGTCAACTGCCAACAAACGGTTAATGTGCGCAAGACCACTGTCTTAGATGTAATGCGTCGTCTGCTGCAGCCCAAGAACATGATGGTGTCCACAGGGCCTGACAAGTCTAACCACCACCGCTACATTTCCATCTTAAATATCATCCAGGGAGAGGTAGATACCACTCAGGTGCACAAGTCGCTGCAGCGCATTCGGGATCGCAAGATGGCGCAGTTTATTCCCTGGGGGCCGACCTCCCTTCAAGTGGCCCTCTCCCGATCCTCGCCCTACGTGCAGAGCAACCATCGCGTTTCCGGCCTGATGCTGGCCAACCACACAAGCATCTGTCTGCTGTTCGAGCGGGCACTGAACCAGTACGACAAGCTGCGCAAGCGCGGCGCTTTTCTAGATCAGTTTCGGCGCGAGGACATCTTTAAGGATGACCTGTGCGAGCTGGACGATTCGCGCGAAACGGTCGACTGCCTGGTACAGGAGTACGAGGCAGCCACGCGTGAAGACTACCTTCAATTTTCTGTTAAGCCGCGAAACTGCGATACAAAATCGGAGGACGCCAAGTCCGTGACCAGCGCCGGTGTCTAGGTCGCTCGTGACACCAATGATGTGTGCCATGGATTTTCTCGAATGTATTTTACAATTTAATTTAACGTCGGGATTCGAAACCCCAAAGTATTGACATGCACATAGTTTGTAAGAGTCTCTGTAAATGCTGTTGTGTATTGACCGTAATTTAACGTTTGTATTTCGTTTGTTGCTAATTGCACAGTAAAGCAAATTTAATCAACAAAAGTTTTAATAATAAAACACTCGTTTGGAATTTTTCGATGCATGTATGATTATATTTGTGTCCTTTTTAGTGTTTTTCCAATGCTTTGTCCAAAAGCAATAGTTTATATCAAAAACATTTCAGATTTCTTTGGAATTATGTTAAAATATGACGTCAGTGTATGAAAAATGTTGCGTTGAGCGGTAATATATGTATATTTAAAAGGAACAAGTTTTCTTCGAGTAATGATAATATACGCCAATGGCGTATGAGCTTCCCACTGCTAAAGTCCTATGTCGAATAAGTCTTGGGTGTTATGTAGTTAGTAATTGTAAGGTTTTGAACGTCGCTACGCATCGAATGCCTTTGGAAAAAAATTAAAATGAGTTAGGGACTGTTTTATGCTATATAAAATCAGAAATTACCTTGAGATCGCCTTTACGCCTTGGGCTTTCTGCAAATGGTGTATACTTACGAGGAGGAGCTCAATCTATGTTTGTGATCTCAACCACTTCTGGCTCGTGCTCCCCACCACCAATTTCTTCATCTAGGTCGTGCTCCTCACCACAATTCTCTTCCTCCTGCTCGTGGTCTTCACCAGCGTTCTCCTCCTCAGGTTCGACCTCCTCCCCAGCAATTCCCTCCTTTTCATCGAGCTCCCCTTCACCATTTTCATCTTCCTCGCGCTGCTCATCAACCATATCTGCCTCTTCGTCATCGTCCCCCCTTATTTCGTCCACAACTGTCAGCTCAAGCTGAGATATATCCTCCTCGGCATCCTCATCGGCATCCTCCTCAGTCAAGTCAATTTCGGCTGTCTCAGCATTTTCAGCTTCTTTATTGAGTGCCTGTGTGCGGGTCGCGCGAAGCGCCTTAAGGGCACCCTTTCCGCTAATCAGACGACACGAGAGCTGGCTGAAGCGGTAGCTGACGGTCAAGTCCTTCTTCTGCAACAGGTCGAAAGCCTTGTCGCCAATGCTGATGTACAGTACCTTGCCGTCCTTGAGCTGGCTAACACGGAATAAGCGCCAGGTTTTCGACAGGAGGTCCGAGTTCTGATCTTTCAAAAGATCCATTGTTACTTGATCGGGCTCTTCAAAAGAGCGTGGGACCAAGACAGTAAACCCCTTGGTGGCGGGGATCTCATTCTTTCTACAAGACGATAGTGTAATTCCCGGTACCACTTTGATCTTGGGGACTACCTGTTCCAGCCACTGCTTGGAGTTCATGTCCAAACAGACAACTAGAATCAGTCCGGGAAGGAATTCGATGCCTCCGAAGTTGATGCTGCTTTTCCAGCCCTTGCGCATCTCATCCACGAGGGCAGCCTCTATCATAGTTAGCTGCTCCTTGCTCATTATGACTTCGGGATAGTTCTTCGCCATTACGGCTATGGAAAAGCCTTTCCTATTGGAGCCCACAGCTTTTGGAGGCCCTTCCGGGGTCCTCCTTTGTTTCTTGGGCTCCTCTTTGGCCCGGCTGTTTTCGACGGGACGCTTGCGGTTGCGATCACCAGAGTCCTGCGGCTTCGGACGCTTGCGGTCGCGGTCACCAGACTCCTGCGGCTTCGGACGCTTGCGGTCGCGGTCAGAGCGTGCCCACTTCTCCGGCCGATGGATTGGGTGACTTTTCTGGTACTCCAGAACTTTGGCCCGAGCCTCTTTCTCACTTAAACCCATGTCAATGTACTTGTCGTACCACTTGAGGGCACCACCCTTAAATCCGGACGGATTGGTACGTCTCTCTATGGCCTTTCTCAGGGATTCTTCGTGCCCGTTGCCCGTATTTAGGTAGCGGTAGTACCACTTGCGCCTGGCTCCGCTAAGAGCGGAGACGGCATCGCTGATATGATCGGGTGGTCCCCGCACCTCATCCTGCATCTGCATGGGCTGCCACTGGTCCCCGTTTGAAGGACCGCCGCGATTGCCTGACAACAACTGATTGTTCATGGCGCTACTTGGGCAGACTTGGTTGTTACGGTCCTCGTTCCAATTCGATTTTTGACGGCTCCAAAGAGAACCAACCTGCGGGGCAGCAGGGTAGTCAGCGGAAATGCCAGACAAGTAGTTCGAGTTAGAGTTAGACCATGGGGCCCAGCCCCCTCCGTTTCTCCCCATTTGGCGGCCGGCAGTTTGGCCAGAATAGCCGCCATCTCCATTGCCGCCGTAGTTGCCATTGCCGTTATCTGAACCACGGCTATTAAGCCACTCCCTTTTTTGCCTGTAGCTAGCATCCATTTCCCGGAATAATTATACTCACGCAAAATGCTGAATTTACCTGCCGACAAAAAGTTATTTTTTATGTGCTAGAAACTGACAGCGAGTCCTGGCCTGACTTTCGTGACACGACCTGCGCAGTTGGCAACTCAAAATGATGTGTTTCAAAAGACTGCTTTTTCTTTCGATAACACAAATTGTTTCATATATTAACTATACCCTTAGGGTTTCATTAAAATTTCGCTAACAGAAAATATAATTCAATATACATACATTAATTTTAACAACTAAGAACCTGTGTAAGCCACGACTGTGTCACGGTGCCATCTTCATGTGTGGTACAGTGTTGGGAAATCCCCCTTTTATAACATTTAAACAAACCGAATAAATTAAAATGCATTTAAAACGGGCTTCTAAATATTAGTAGTCTTCAAAATGGGTACGAAGGAAGAGGTTTTGTTCGAAGATCGCCCGAAGATATCAACTTTTGCCGTTCTGGACCTGGAGACGACCAACTTGCCTGTGTACAATAACAATCGGGTAGGAATTACAGAGTTGTGCATTTACGCCTTTGAAGCTGCCCTTCTCAAGAAAGATGTTGGTCAGGATAAGAAGCAGGAGCCAGTGGAGTTGCCCGATCCACCACGCGTGGTCCACAAATTGAACCTGCTCTTCCAACCTTCTATGATGGTGCATCCGGATTCGGAGAGCATTACGGGTAATCTATAAATTTGATAAGGTTTTTTACAACTTAGTGATTCATCCATGTACTGTATCGCACACTAGGTCTGAGCAATTACTTGCTGGAGCGGGAGTCCAAGTTGGATGGGGACTCCGCGCAACTTATCGTCAGCTTTTTAAAGCACTTGCCAGCTCCGGTTTGTCTCGTAGCTCACAATGGCTGGAACTTCGATTTCCCCATCATGAAAAAAATTTTTCAAAAGCTTAATGTTGAGCTGCCGGAATCCATTACATGCTTGGACTCACTACGTGCTTTTTTGGAGATCGACGATAACCGCTTTAAAGAACAAAATTTGTTGCCAATGCCAGAGATTACACATGAACCTGACTCGCTTAAAGAAAATGAAACCGCATTCGAGGAGTCGGAACCCGCAAAGGAAACAGACTGGCGATCCAGAAACGAAACGACTCCGAAACGTCCTATTGTGACACAAACGGAAGCTTCTGTCAAGCGCAGGCGACTAGCCGATGACGAGGATGACCTGGAAAGGCAGGGTCCTGTCAAGCGGGAATCCCAAGTGTTCCGATCGAGACGCAAACTGTTCAGCGGTTTAACGTGCGCCGAAACTAAGCGGTTTCCGCCTCGTAATGTTTACAAATTGGAAAATTTGTTCACTAGAAAGTTTCAACAACCAGCCGGTAGTTCCCACCAGGCAGAGGCAGACGTGGTGATGCTCATGAAGCTCATTCTACATTATGGCATGGATTTCCTGGCCTTCGCCGAGGAACAGGCAATTCCATTCCACAAAGTTTTGCCACTTGGCGTCACTGCTCGATGACACAAAAAATTTATTGCATGAAATTTGTGTGACCTTTTACTGTGTGATGGTTTTATATTTTTATATTGCAATATTATATTCAAAAATTTTAAATAAATAAATGTTTTGGTATTTTTTTATAAAATTGGAAAATTTGTTCTTTATTCAAAGCTTTCTAAATACGACTGAGGTAACCACATTGCCCACTTTGCCTCCAAATTTGAAGGTCGGAGTAGGAATTGTGTGGTGCTTTACAAACTTCTCGGCAAAGCTCTTCTCCAGTTCTTCCTCTGTCCAGTTGCATGATGTAATGACAAAAAGACTGTCGGCAGTTCGTAGCAATTTATGCACAGTCTTCAGGTAAAGGGCGCGCTTTTCCTTGGGATTATCGGGACAGAGGCTGACCGCATCGTATGTCCCCTTGTCGTGAACCACATCAAAGGTTCCCAGCTCGTCCTGCGGCTGGGTTAAGTCCGCCACCTTATATGTGATGTTTAGCTTGTTGTCTCCTGCAATATTCTGGGCCAATTCCACGGCCTTGGGGGAGTAGTCTACCCCGGTCAGATGGTCGTACCCTTCGTTGGCCAACCCCACGAGAAACATGCCATTGCCGCATCCCAGGTCGAGCACATTTGATTTCTTGTCTACTTTCTGCTTTAGCAGCCAGTCGATCACGCGCTGCTGGGAGTCCTCATCGAACCAGATCTCGCCCACATCTCCGTGACTTTTGTAGTTCCTAATCTCACGATTATAGCTAGACTCCCAGTATTCCTGGGTTCCCAGCTCTGATCCAGACAGTTCGCTATCCATTGTTTATATGGTTTTTATGAGTGTTGGAAAACTCTTGAAGCAGAAGATACATGCGAGTGAAGTCAAGAATGCGACGATTGATTGATTTTCCAAAGGAACGAGATGATAAGAAACACCGATCTTTCAACACGTTAAAATTTGAAGAAGCGTTAATGAATAATAATAGAACAATCTATTAAACATTGATTTAGTTTAATACACTTTATAATTTATTGATATATACTTTATAGATTTCTCAGACACTACAACGTACTTTTTATTCTTATACATATGTCATTAATATTAGAATCTTTAATATTCACTAAATTACAATTCTCTGGATCATTCGCTGATTCTTTATTTCTAAACAGTATATAAAAGTTAGAATGCAATATAGACAATTAAACAAATGATTATTCCGCTGCCATATTTCATAACCTTGATACGATTCCTTAACGACCCCAATTGCTTTTGTGTTTACAAACATACCTAAGTGTTTAAATATATAGTGAGAATTTGTTGTTGGTTTAAAAGCTTTTAAACGACTTGTTTGCATTATGGGCCACATACCACACAGCACACTTTTTTTTATCTCGCTGCACCTTCTGTACAGGTGAATAGTATAAAAATAATGTTTTTAATGATGAACGAGTTAAAGCCTATGATTTATACACAGAAAGTCTAAAATTAGGTTGCAGGTATTGCCTCCAAACCCTGGATGATGCAGTGCTTGGCATGCCTTCTGTGCGATCTGATGTGAAATTATGTATAGAAATATAGTTAGCTGCTAGGTATTACTTATACAGGTGTAGGGCGCTACGCTTAACGTATTGTATGCAGGTTGGTTTTCTTCTGGTAAGTCGCTGGGCGGGATTCACCCTCCCAGGCGCGCTTAACTCTAGGCTTCATATGTACAATAGACAGTTCCATGCGGATTCCTGAGCCGGCTCCTCAAGTCTGTGTGCGCCGTTCGTAATCGCTGCGTCTGTAGTCGGCAGGATAATCGCGCGGCATCACCGGATACCCGCGTGGATCACTGCGGTAACCGGACGGCGGCGGCGCCAGGCCGGGAACGACTCCATTCGGCATTCCATAGTAGTTGGTCGGCAGGTAGTGGCTTGGGTAGGCGTGAGGCGGCATGCCAGATTGATACCTGTAATATACATGACAGAGCATAAGAAAAAACAAATTACAGATAATAACGGAAAAATTACCTTCGCTTGTCGGGACGGCGTTCGCGGTCGCGATGATAGCCACCCGAAGCTCCTCCACTGCGCGGGTACCCATCGTAGCGATCTCGTTTGTATTCCTGACCGTATCTGCAACATAAAATCACATTTGAAGTCCTTCCTACAAAAACCCATCAAGCACATTGCCCTTACCTTTCGCGGGCATGCCACCGCTCCATTTCCGGGGTGTATCCGGATGGAGTGGGTGGTGGTTCATAGCCGCCTCGACCTCCACGACTGTTTGGCGTCGAGGGGGAGGTCGGGCCTTGTCGGCGGGTGCTACTGCTGCCTCCCCCTCGTAGCCTCCACTGCCCATCGGTGGTCCATTCCCGCCGTAATAGTCAGCGCCTCGATGATGTTTCTTGCGATCCTCATGGCGATCCATGTTAAGCCGCTTGAAGGACATGGACTTGAGATGGTCGCCGATCCCGCCGCCTGGCATCCCACTGTTCGCCTCGGCTTCGATGTCGTCCCGCTTGCGCTTCAAAGGGGAGTCGTTAACGAATCGTCCGGAAGACGGAGTACCTGTTTCCGAGTATCGCGACTGTCCCGTACGTTCCTTGTCCTTGTCCCTCTTTTTTTCTTTCCACCACCTCTTTCTCGCTCCTTTTCCTTGTCTTCAGCCGACAGCCCGTTGCGCTTGGACTTGGTGGGACTTTCCACCGCATCCTTGGCTTTCCCCTTTGCCACGCTCGCTTCTTCGCCGCCGCCTATCTTTTGCTTGAGTGCATGCTTGTAGATTTTGAAAAGGCGTTTTGCATCCATCTCCGTGAACTTGGACACAAAGTACCAAAGGTTGCTGCGCCATTCCTTCTTCTCTGGCTCGCCATAAGGATTGAGGCAAACGTCGATCTGTCTGCCGATCTGCAGCAAGCAGTCCCTGGTGTGCTGAAGTTGATCCTGATCAGAAAGACTGGCATCCGGCTGGTCCAGGGCCTTTAGGGCCTTCTTTACTGGTCGCATCTTCTCCTTGCACTCATTGAATATGCTCGGATCCAGGTCGCCCAGCACCTCCAAGGCTCGAGGCTCGTTGTTTGCCGTAAAGTGCATCGGCTTGTTGCCGTTGTTGTCCGAGGCGCTGTTCTTTTTCGACCGGGCCTTGGACTTTTTAGTCTTCTTTACGCTGCTACTCGACTGCTCACCGGCCGGAGCATTGTGCGGTGACGAGGTTGATGGATCGACATGACTGCTATTGTTCTCGGCGACTGTACTGGCAGCATCTTCGGCATCGTGCGACTTACTCTCCACATTCGAATTAGCCGACTGACTGGCTGCTTTCGCGTCATTGGCTCTCGAAGCTCTGGGACGACGCTGTCGGCGCTGGCCACCCTTGGTTAGCTCCACGTTCTTTTTGATGATCTTGAGCAGGTATTCGGCACGAGTCTGTAGCTGCTTGGCCTGCGGCTTCCGCGTGTCGTTCAGCAGGATCTTGTCCGTAAGCTTCAGCGTGGGATCCAGCTTCATCTGCTCCCAGGATCCAATGCCGTACTGGTAGATGCCACACAGCAGCTTGGTGTCCTCCTCATTGCCCCAGTCCACGTCGAAAACCGGTGCGCGCGTTTTGATGTTGAAACTCCACTGCTGGCGCTCTTCGGCCACGCTGGGCATGATCTCGTTGAGCGGCTGCAGCTCCTGCTCGCAGGCCAGCAGCTTTTTGGCATTAAAAGAAACGCCACCCAGCTTTACTGAGAAGGTGGCGCGGGCTCGGCGCTGCTTGGCGCCCGGCGTCTCGTCCGCCGCCGCAGTCTTGTTTTCTTCCTCCTTGTGCTCGTGCAGAAACTGGACGCAGCGGTCGTGCAGCATCTCTCCGAGGCGCTTCAGTTCCGCCAGCGGCTTCTCCTGCAGCTCAGCATCACAAGCGATGGCCTCCATGCGGTGAAGGGGGGCGGGAAATTTTTTGTAGCTGCGGATGAAGCGACGAAGCTCCGCATCCGTAAACCCAGTGATTTTTTCTTTCATCGTAGGACGGCCTCGCTTACGAGGTCGGCCATCGTCACCACTGCCCTCGGAGCCCAGCTCGTAGTCTGAGTCGCCGCCGGAGTCGTCGGCCTGCTGCTTAGTCTTGGCCCCCTTTCCAGCTCCACGTTTCGACTCATTTTGGTTAGCAGCAGCAGTCTTCCTGCGAGGCGGCAAATACAGATCCTCCATCTCCTTGGCCCGTTCCTGGTCATCGATCGCTTTGCGGAAGCCCTCCGGTATAATGTCGTCCCAGTCCTTACTGTCGTCCTCCTCGCCGACGGCATCGTGGTCCTGCTTGTTGGCCGAATCACTGGGCTCCTCCTCGAATGCCGCTATGCTGGCAACTTTAAAGGCTGACAACAAGTCATCGGCTGGCATTTCCGGGTCCTCGTTCCGGGTCTCTGCCCTACGCAGAATGTCGTCGATGTCGCATACCAGGTCATCGTCATGGTCCTGCTCGTCCTTGAACAACTCCTCAGCGCCAAACTTCAGGATGGCCGACAGATCGTCCTTATTGAATGGATTTGAGTTGGACGAGTGTCCGTTGCCGCTCTTGTCCAGTACAGTGCGGCCCGTGGTGTCCATCCTCTGAATGACCAGGTGGTCCAGCACCATCTTTTGTTTGGCCCGCTCCACGATCTGCTCCTCGACGGATCGGGCGGTGACCAGTCGGTAGATGTTCACCTGGTTCTTTTGCCCGATGCGGTGGGCTCTCGCCTGCGCCTGTAAATCGTTTTGCGGATTCCAGTCAGAGTCAAAAATAATCACCGTGTCGGCGGTCGCCAAATTTATGCCCAGGCCACCGGCTCTTGTGGAGAGAAGGAAGCAAAAGTCTTGACTACCCTCGGCATTAAAATGGTCTAAGGCCTGGCGCCTCATTTCTCCCTTGATGCTGCCGTCGAGGCGCTGAAAAGGGAAGTGACGCTTCTGCAGGTAGTCAGCCAGCACATCCAGCATGCGCACCATCTGGGAGAAAATTAGCACGCGGTGACCCGTCTCCTTCAACCGGCAGAGAAGCTTGTCCAGAAGCACTAGCTTTCCTGAACCCTTAAGGAGCGTTTGTAGAGCTTCATCCTGCTGCAAACCCATCAATTCAAACTCCGAGGGCCGAATAAGGGCCGCGTGGTTGCAACACTTCTTCAGCTCGATGACTATGTTCAAGAAAGTGGAGGTGCTGCCGCGTTTGCCCTTACGTAGCGCATCAAAATTCTTGGTGAGAATCCATTTGTAGTACTGCTTTTGCAGGGAGGTCATTTCGACCCGCAGGATCTGCTCCACTTTGGCAGGCAACGACTTCTCCACGTCCTTTTTCACTCGCCTCAAGATATACGGCTCCAGCTGCTGGTGCAACCGAGTATATCCCTTGTCCTCGGCATTGCCGTGCTGCAGCTCAAAGTTCTCCCACGTGTCAAACTTGTCCGGCATGATGAAGTGCAGCAGAGCCCAAAGCTCCTTTAGCGAGTTTTGCAGCGGGGTGCCGGTAATAAGCAGACGGTGGTTTGTGTCAAACTCCTTGAGAGACTTGTAAAGTAGAGAGTCATCGTTCTTCAGACGGTGAGCCTCGTCCACCAGCAGCGCAGCCCATTGGAGCGTGCCCAGGAATTGCTTGTCCTTCAGCACAATCTCATACGTTGTGAGAATGCAATTGAATTTCAGCCGCTTGGAGCCCTCAAATTGCCATTCGTATTGCTGGATGAGCTCGCGCGATTTAATGTCGCCAAGATACGTGACCACGTTCATGTCCGGCGCCCAGAGATCGAACTCCCGTTGCCATGCCGTCATGGTGCTCAACGGCACCACACACAAGAACGGGCCGTAGAGGTGGTGCAGCTTAAAGAGCGAGTACAGAAAGCAGATGGTCTGGATGGTCTTGCCGAGGCCCATCTCGTCTGCCAGGATCACTGAGTTTTCCTTGCACCACGAATGCAGTAGCCAGTTTAGACCGTCCATTTGGTAGTCTCTGAGCGTCAAGCCCGGCGCGAGGAACTCCGGCTGGTTTTTGATGCGTGAGAACTTCGGGCGGTACTTGATTACTCGGCAGTGGCGGGATGGTGTGCACTTGGAGCACTCACGCTCGTTAAATTGCTCCGCACAACGCTGCCACTTGCGAAGCACAAGGGCGGCGTCCTCCCAGGTGGACTCGGCATATGGAAGCGATTGCCATTTGCACAGATACTCTTCGGCGCCGCCGTCCGGTTTGGAGCCCTTCGCGATTATACGATCGACGTTGTTGTACGACTTAAGCAGCTCGTGCTGTAGCTCCTGCTGACACTCGAAGTAGTCGATGTCCTCAGGCCCGGCGTAGCGGCGCCAGTAGGCCTGATCCTGCTCTTTCTTGATGAAGTTGTCCAGTTTCTTCATGCCCTTGGCTTTCATGTCGCGCAAGGTAGCCTCCGATTCCCATGTGTTGTGAATGTACGACCAGCCCTTCCATTTAATCAGGAACTGCGACTCGCTTTCAGCGTTTGTGCATTGCTTCTCATCGAACCCGGCGTTTGGATCGACGCCGTTCTCCTCGATTGCATAGATCGTTGTCTGGTCGCCGGTGCAACCCTTCTTGCCCACACGCTGGGCCAGGATACGCTCGATGGTCTCGCACTTCTCCTCCTCCTCTGCTGCAGCCGCATTGGTGGCTGCCTGGCTCTCGTCGTACTCGAACTCCAGCAGATCCTCGGAGCCGGTGGCCTCGTCTTCAGAAGCCTCTTTGTAGCTCACTGCGGCGGCCGTGCGACGGGTAGCACAGCTGCTCAAAGAGGAGGAACATGAATCGAAAGGAGAAGCAAGCATCAGGGACGTGATCATTACCGTTTGCTAGCATCATCATCGTCACTGTCCTCCGAACTAAAGGACTTCACCCTCCGTCTCTGCTGTTGCTGTGTGGGCTTACATCGGGAGGCAGTTGCTGCTGTTTTGCGCTTTTGTGCAGTGGACATGTCCTCATCGCTGTCCTCGCTTTCATCGCTTTCGTCCGAGTCCCAGCTGGTTTAAATAAAATAAATCCTTTAATAAAAAGGTTAAATGGTGAAAGCTGCTGACAATCTCACGTTTTCTTTTTGTTCTTGGAGGCAGGGGCTTTCTTGGGTTTGTCGGCAGCAGTAGGTGGCTTGCGCGCCTGGCGCGTTCGTTTGGGTCTGTAGTCCTCCTCTTCCTCCTCCTGCGCGGAGAAAGGTTAGAATATTTAAAGGTAAGATCTGCGCATCCCGACTTACACTGCTGCTGCTGGAGGATGTGGGTGAGACATTGGCAGAACTATCACTAGCTTCGTCAGCAGATGCATCGCTGGTTGGCTGCTGCTGACCAGCCTCAGTCTCATCGTCCTCCTCCTCTTCCTCTTGCTCCGGCTTGGACGAGCTGCTGCTCGTGCTGTTGCTCGTGTTGGCATTGTTCTTGCTCTGGTCCCCTTGATCTGTTGGGCCTTCGGCATCTGACTCAGAATCACTACCGCTCGACCCGTCACTGGAGCTGTCCTCCTGGTCGTCTGTGAACCCGTTTGTCTTGCTATCCGCCTGGGCAGCTGCGGCGGTCGGTGGAAACCCTGCCACCGATGCCGATTTGGCCGCTGGATCTGGGGAACTGCGTCCATCGCTGGAGTTGCCCGAGGAGCTGTCCGAGTCTGAGTCCGAACCCGAGGAGCCACTGCCGCTGCCACTGCCACTTTGGTCAGTGCCATTGGTCTCCTCCCGATTTTCGTCTTGTTCATCTGAGCCAATACTATTCGCCGATTCATTGAGTGCCTAAATAGATTAAAAGAAATTAACTCAAAAATTCGCGTTCTGTGTCGGGAAATCCTGCCCTGAGTTCATCTGTACAACGGAAAAGTGCACCGAAAACAACCGAAAACCATCTTACCTTGCCATCCGACATTAATGCAAGGCTGAATCTAACATTTCGAATGGGAAATCCTTTCAAAAATAAGACCCAATTAAAAAAGCGCTAAAACAGTAATAAAACAACGTTTATCCTCAAATGTTTGAGGCTTGGCCTTAGTAAAGAGGCTGTAAAATAAATTGGGGTGGAAAAACGATAAGAAAATTGCACGTCAGTGGCTGCTACAGGGCTAATCCTCTCCAGAAATTCGATTAGGTCACTTTAAACCATCTAAATTAAGAGAAAAATCTGTAAAGTGACACGGTTCTGGACGGTAGACAAAGAAATCACATGACCACTTAACACAGAACGCGGTAATCACAAGACACGACTTGGTGGTCAGTAAAAGACCAGGATATCCTTAAAAGCAAGCGGGTTCTGAGTCTCCTGGACCCGATCTTTCAATACAAAGGTATTTAACTCCGAAAATAGGTTCATTACATCGGGGAAAATTATTTTTAATAACTGGTTCCATTAAAAAAGAAAGGATTTCCAGAAATTAATATGCCGGTTGTATTTTGGCGGGTTCAAATCCCTAGGAATTTGGCCAGAAATCTTCGTTGGGAAACTTTGCACCTAGCAATTTCTGATTACGTAATCGAAGAAAATTTTCAATTTGGTTGGAAAAACAATGGAATCCATGCATTTTAAAGGATTTTTATAGCCGCATTCGATAAAAACAAACCAAAACTCTCGATTTTAGGGGGAATTTGCGAAAATGGGTACCCGATGGATTTTTGCAAAATGCACCTTGGCTGCCACGTAGTAGCCCTGGGAGCAATCAGGCAGTGTCGGAAGGATGAAACACAGTCGGGACGACGTTGAAAACCATCCTTAACTCCAAATGCTTCACCAGCAGCAGCACGGTGAGCCATCAAAGTGCGGGTGTCTCGCGACAAGGGGGCTTCTATGGACTTCGGGGCTGAACAGCCACGCCCACAAAACGGAGCATTTGTCACGTATGTAGCACTTGTTTTACGTTTATACTCACACGACAACTTGGATCAAAGTGGTTTGATCCGTCTCGTTTCGAATGATAGAAGAAATTCATAGTTTTTCCGACTTTTCCGCACACACCGACGTTCGATATTCACAGCTTTTTCAAGGCCTACTCACCTGGCTCATTATATTGTCGTGGTAGCACACACAATTGCCTTGTAGCGCTCATTAAATACAGGGGATCCACTTGTTTACGTTCGCTGACAAATGTTTTTGTTTTTCCTGCAGGCCACTTGTTTTTAAATGCACTTTTTCGAAACAAAAAGATCGTTTTTCACGTTTTACTCATGCGACGCAGCAGAAATCTTTCCACCATTTTGAATTAGTGTGACCGTGCGAACTGCAATAGGAATGCCAGAGCGCGATAGCGATTATATGGGATATTTCATGGTAAAATATTTAACAATATAAATTTTTTGAGCAAGAATAAAATTCTTTTATTATTATATTTGTTTGTATACAAAATTCACTGTAAAATAACGTTCATCTCAATAGTGTTAATTTAAAAGTTATATATCATGGAAAAAATTATTACACGCATAGTTCTTTTCAGGCAATTTGACAACAGCTGATTCTATTTAAACTAAATGTAATTTGTATATAAAAATGATAGACTTGTACAACTGGGTTAATAAAATGTCAATAAAACAACTACATTAACTACATCTCAATAATGCTTAATCAAAAGTTTTTTATCATAGCCAAAAAACTATTACACGCATATGTAGTTCTTAACAGGCAATTTAACAACAGCTAATTCTATACACACTAAATGTAATTTGTATATAAAAATGATTAACTTTTATATCACAACTGGTTTACTAAAACGTCAATAAAATAACTACATTTTAAAATCTAATGCATGGAAAAGTGTCTTCAACATAAAACAATGCACTCTTGTTTTCAAGATTTTCAAAATTAAAACCTGTTAAAAATGTTGTTATAACTTAGTTCTAATAAAAACTAATAAAAATTTAAAAACAAACTTATTCAATGTATTGAATAGGTCTCAATTCAAAAAGGTCAGCTTATAAAAAGTGCTTACTGTACTTGCAATCGATAACATATCGCACCGCACAGGTGTCTTTGAAGTCAGCTGTCGGCGGTGTACAATTACAATCCTTGGCTTGTGTTCTGTGGCTAGAACTGCTATTTAATTAAATTAGAGGATTGGACATGTAGCGCAGCTGGACAATAACTAATTATGAAAGAAGTGGGCATCGCATTGCCCAAGTCCCGAGGAGTGGGCGTGGGAGTACTCGCTGCCTTCCTGTTGTGCTTCATTTTTTATTACTTCTACGGGGGTTACATGACGTTCGCGCTCTTCGCTGGAATAATCCTGAGTACGTATTTGTTGTCTGCAGCCATTCCTAATTAAAAGGCTCTGCTTTCAGTGATATTCTATTACGCCCAAGACCTTTTGCTCTATCACCCGGACCTGCCAGCCAACTCCCGCATTTACATACCCATTCCCACAATGCACAATCTGCCACACATCACTGTCAGCATCAAGACGCCCGATAATGTCACGCTGCATGCCTTCTGGATCAGTCAGCCGGAGGAGCGCTCAAAGTCTGTGCCCACTCTGCTCTACTTTCACGGCAACGCTGGCAACATGGGACATCGCATGCAGAACGTAAGAGGGGCCACAAACTTGTCTAGAACTCTTTAACACGAAACTTTGCTTTTCGTCCAAGGTCTGGGGCATCTATCACCATCTCCACTGCAACATTTTGATGGTGGAGTACCGCGGGTACGGTCTGTCCACCGGAGTGCCAACTGAAAGAGGCCTGGTTACCGACGCCCGGGCAGCTATTGATTACCTGCACACCCGCCACGACTTAGACCACTCGCAATTGGTCCTCTTTGGGCGCTCCCTAGGCGGGGCAGTGGTCGTTGACGTGGCCGCCGATACCGTGTACGGCCAGAAACTAATGTGCGCAATAGTGGAGAACACATTCAGCAGCATACGGGAAATGGCCGTGGAGCTGGTGCATCCCTCTGTGAAGTATATACCAAATCTATTGTTTAAGAATAAGGTGAGCCGTCGGCCGAGTTGGTTGTTTACATAATGACTCTATATTTAATGATCTTTTTACAGTATCACTCCATAAGCAAAATTGGCAAGTGTTCGGTTCCATTTTTGTTTATATCCGGCCTTGCAGATAACCTAGTGCCACCGCGCATGATGCGTGCCTTGTATACCAAATGCGGTAGCGAGCTGAAGCGCTTGCTCGAATTCCCCGGAGGATCGCACAACGATACCTGGATAGTAGACGGGTATGGGCTGCTCAATAATCTCAAAATCCCATTTATCCGCACGTCTGCTTGCTTTTTAGATACTATCAGGCAATCGGAGGATTTCTAGCCGAGCTGCAGCAGCAGCCATCCCCGCTACAAAAGGCGCCAGAGAAGAGCAACGTCTGGGTGGAGCTAGAGCATAAAATCATTGATGTGTAGCTTTCAAACCTGCAGACATCAAGTGTTCAATTGACTGTGTTAACACTGCTAATGGTTTAATACTTATATTTACATAATATTTACCTGTATCTGACAGGGTTTTAATCCGAACGTTGCTATATGCTATGTTGCTTTTATTGTGCAGAGAAGAACGTGCTAGCGGAGGTAGATATTAATTTAATATCACAATTTTATGCTTTAGCAAATGAATTCACATTAGAATCCGAATTTTTCCAAACTCCTATGGGCACGAAGATTATTTGTACTGTGTTACGTTAACCTACAATTTGACTTTACATGATTGGCTACCACTTTAGATTGTAGAAAATAATCAGTATTTGACAAGAGAATAAACTCATTTTCTGGACTGATTCCTAGTTTGCCAGATTTGTTAAAAAGAGCTTTCATCCCCTAGCACGTTTACAATTTGTGCTGGTTCCATTTTTGAAATGTTAAACTATTTAAATGTTAAGATTGCGAAGGAAGCCAGAAAAATTATTTTAAGAATAGACTAAAGTAAACGAAACCCGGCAAATTTATTAACAATAAACTGCAAATACTTGCTAAAATCCAATAAAATCCTCGTCAGCACTGTCGTCACTGGGGGGCGTAGATGGACGCTTGCGACTGGTGGTTTCTGAAGATTCTTCTTCCTCTGGCTTCGCCACAATCTCCTGAGCTTGTGATCTGTGGTGAAACACAAAAGAGACGCATTTGCTGTCCGTCCAGGCCTGGGCGAGAATGTTGTCAGGCAGACCGCGATTGTTGGAGCAATGGTACCACTGGGACAAGTGTGAGGTGCAGTCCGTATCATCCGGAGGTGGCTTCGTTTGGATGTTTTCTACGCATCGCTTGCACTTAAGTCTAACAGAAACATATTAAAGTATACCAAAAAATAAAAAAGCTATTTCTTACTTTTCATGCGTATCGGAAAGAATGTTTGGATCAAATTTAAACAAATCCTTGAGGTCGTCCCGAGTAAAGTGTTTCTCAGACGACTCATTGTTGTCAATGATTGTGCTCGACAGGGATTTTTTGTGCGTCTGGCGCTGCAAGATTTTCTCCTCAATAGACCCGCTCTAAAAACAAGTGTTAAATGTACCACCTTTTAGAAGAGAATAATCATATCTTTACCGCGACAAGTCGATATATGTAGCAGGGCTTCTTCTGTCCGTCCCGCCAAACTCTGGCCATCGCCTGTTCGTCGTTTGCCGGATTCCAGTCAGGATCGAACATAAACAACCGGTTGGCTCCGATCAAGTTTAAGCCGCACCCGCCAGCCTTGCTGCTCAACATAAAAAGAAAGCTGTCCGACTCCGGGTCATTAAACCGGTCAACAACCTTCGAGCGCTTCTTGATAGACATAGTCCCATCAAGACGCACAAATCCGTACTTTCTCTTCCTGGCCAACTGCTCAAACAAGTCAAGGGTCTGTGTGTAATTGGAGATAAGGACGACCTTGTCATTGCCGTCTGCTCGTATAGCGGCTAGCATGAAATCAAGAAGCATAAACTTGCCACTTAACTCTGGGTTGAGATCCCTGAAACATAAGGATTGACATTAATTGGCTCGATATCAGTACATTTTTACCCACTTTGGTTTGTAATTGATAGGCAGCACATTCTGCGAATTCTCGAAGCCTTTTTCCCGTGCCGTGAGCTTGTCATATATAAGATCCGGATGACTACAAATCTTTTTGAGGGTTGTAATGTCCGCTAGGGCCGTAAGCGATGCTTTCTCATCACAGTCTTAAAAGATTTTCAATTGATACAAACGTTTAATATTATAAAAGCTTGGCTTACCCGCCAGACTCCGGCGAACTTGATCCGACTTTAGGAAATTGGTGTAAAGCTCAAGCTGAATTGGCGTAAGCTTTGCGCAGATGACCATTTCGAATTTTACAGGTAGGTATTTTGTAAGAATCTGATTGGTACGACGAATGATGCACTGATCGACCAGTGCTATCAGCTCCTGCGTCTTTTCAATAGCCCGCTTCCTCTCCGCTTCCGTGGAGTCTGCATTCTGGCCCCGCAGAATGCTGCTTTCAAAGTTGCGCTTAAAAACGGTCGCTGTGCCAAGCATTTCTGGGTTCACAAAATTCACAAGACTGTAGTACTCAGTTAGATCGTTTTGAATGGGAGTACCAGAGAGCAGGACTCGACGTTTTGTTTTTAAACCCATCAGAGCCTGATAAGTGAGGTTGTCACTGTTCTTCAATCGATGTCCCTCGTCGCATATGACCATTCCCACCTCGTATTTGCACAGAATATCCGCGTAGATGCGGAATGTCTCATAGCTAATAAGCAGGACGGGCGTTCCCAGTCGCGATGATGTCATAGAGAATTGCTCAAGGGCGCGGATAGTGTTCTCCTTATTACCACCCTCCATCGGGAGGCAGAGCAGCCGTCCCTGTAGCCACTTAGTGAACTCCTTCTCCCAGTTCTTTACAAGCGACGACGGTGATACAACTATAGCCTTGTTAATTGTAGGCTTGCAGTCAGGACTCTGCCGAAGAAGTGTCCACACCAGCGTGACGCACTGCAGCGTTTTCCCCAGGCCCATTTCATCGGCCATAATGCAGCCGTTAAAGTCACCACGCTTTCCCTCTACACACTCGTACATGAAGCGCACGCCCTCGCGCTGATGTGGTCGAAGAATGTTGCTCAGCAGCGGATCCACAACTACGTGCACCAGCACCTGACTGGGATCCATGGCCATTCGTTCGTGCTCCGTGTATGCGGGTGGGTGGAAAAGAACAAGGGCGTTACATGCCAGCGGATCGTGCAAAGGTCGCCGGGAAATGCAACGCCGCACGCCAAGGACTCGTTTTCCCCCATAATCCGGGATGTAGTTGTCCATGGGAACCTTGAACTTCCGGGAGAGCACCTTTGCAATAGCCCGTTCATATTCGCTGTTTGCAGTAAAGCGAATGGGCAGAGGTAGATCTACCGAATCGTTCGTATCTCTCAGAGTGCTTTGGCGCTTTCGGTCCAGTTCCTGCTCCCTTTCCAGATCCTGCTGGCAGGCTCGCTTGTTTTTTTTCAGCAGGGGCGGCGTGAAGGAGTGCCGCGACTCGGGCCGCAGAGGACCACGTTGGCTGGGTGCCAGACTGCGTCGCTTTAAAAGAATAGGGTTATGGGGGAGAAAAACAATGTAAAATGTTATAAGCACCATTTAATAAATTTGAATCGTGGTGGCGCAAACAGCTGACCAAATTGTTTAGTCTGGTCACATATGTTAGCAAGTGAAATACAGAATTGTTATCGAAGGTTGTTTGGCAACATTGGAAAGGCGATTGCAAATATCGAATGCCAGAAACCTCGTAGTGCACAGATCATTCAAACATATTCGATACATCGATATTATAACTAGTACCTGCGCATCTCTAACTTTCTATTTCCGTGCTTAAATAATTGTAAATATTTACGCAAAATTGCACTCAAAAAGCCTCGAAAATTAAGACAAATGAGGCAATAAAGTGTATGTTTGTTTCCCATGTACTTGTTCACAGCAAAAACCGCGATTAATGCACAAAAGTCAAGCTGCAAGGACGCGAATCTAATCCGCAAATCTGCGGAAGTGTTGGTACAAGCACTTAATTGTATTTGTAATTGTAATTGCCCAAGTGCCAAAAAAGCGCTGCAAATGCTGCAAGCGTAGGAGCCTACATAAAAAGGGCTGAAATAATACAATGGGCGTGGTGAGACGATGCATGGAGAGCGAAAAGCAGCGAAGACGATGACGACGATCAAATAAAAATTCATCAGGTGAGCGAGCAACAAAAACACCTCGGTTGCCCAAATAGGTGCGCACACGTACGCACATGTGTGTGTATGTGTGTAAGTGTGTCACGGCATGCACTTGTTGTTCTTGTTCTGATCAAAAGTAAATAGCGAATTTTTTTCTAACCTGCGTCTCTTATTTAGCTTTTAATATTGACGAAAAAACAACATTACAAATACTCACCACTCACACAGTCGGAAAGAAGCACAAAGAGATAACAAAGTACCAATACCAACTGATGCCAAACGAAACGCACACGGAGCAGTTATCAGCGGAAGAGTGCCTTTAGAATCCAAAAAATCGCCCACAAACCAAGGCAAAAACGATGTGGCTGCGCCAGAGCAGCGGCGGGGGCGTCGCATCAGCCGGACATGGCGGACCACTGCGGCAGCGTCCCATCGATGCCGCCACGGACTGTGATCCACGCGCCTGCTACGACAGCTTCTGCAAGCACTGGCAGCAAGCCTTTGACATCATCCAGCACAGCGCTCCACCCTCGCACGATGACGTTCTGGGTGTGGTTTCCCACTTGGACTACATGGTTACCCTGCTATTGGTGGAGCTTCATCACTGCAACAAAGTCTCGCTGCCGGCAGCCGAGGCCAGTGGTCCGCCTGCAGCGCCTTGCCTGGAGTTCCTGCTCAGCGAGAATCTGCTGGACAAGCTGTACGAGTGGGCCTGCACCACGGGACGCTATTCTAACGCTGTAAGACTAGAGCAGCTAAAGCTATACGAGCTGCTTGTGAGCCACTCGCGCCACCAGCTGCTTTGCCACGAGCCCTTTCTACGACCGCTGCTCAAGATACTGGCTTCCAGTCAGGGCGAGATCTTTCCGCCCGATCTGGAGAAGCGTCTCGTTATCCTGCTAAACCAGCTGTGCGTTGTTCTCATGCAGAATGTTCACCTGCTGGACTTGTTCTTCTTTTCCGCCCAGTCGCAAGTGCAGGAGCAGATATTAAATGGCAACGTAGCGCCTCCCAAAAGTGGAACCACAACGAAGTGAGTATCTAATGTTGAAATTAGTCCCCTTTGAAAACAAAACTTATCTCTTATCTTTTAATGCAAAAGTACGTGTTCGTATTATGAATCATAATCATCGACTAATGCTCCGTATATGATAAAGTCTAAAAAAAATTTTGATCCCGTTTCCTTGCAGTTTTATCATATTTTCGCTGCTCATCCCATACGTGCACCGTGAGGGCAGTCTTGGCCACCAGGCCCGCGATGCCCTGCTTCTGTGCATGGCCCTCTCGCAGAAGAACTCAAACATTGGCACCTACATTGCCCAGTACTCATCGATCTGCCCCCTGCTGGTGACAGGTCTGGGTGGTCTCTATTCACGACTACCCAACAGCATCGAGATCAGCTCCATCGACTGGCACCGCATCACGCCGGACGATGTGACCGAAATCCCGGAGCTGACGCTCTTCATGAACGCCCTCGAGTTCTGCAATGCGGTGGTGCAGGTGGCCCACGAGATGATCAAGCAACAGCTGCTGGATTTCATGTACCAGGGCTTCATTGTGCCCGTGCTGGGACCCGCGATCCTGCAGGTGAGTGCCGCCTCGCTTTTGTCTCGTCTCGGTCTCTTCTCGTGAAAATTTGTCTTCGATGCATTTCTGTGGTGTTGGTTGCAAGCGAATCATTTATGTCCTTCTGTGCCTATTTATTATTTAGTCTTAAAATAAGAGGGAGATATTGGTTACAAATGCTTAATGCTCAACATTCTTTACGTCACTGGATTTTTTAACGAGTTATATTTTATAACTGTCGGGTAAGTCCTAAAAAAAAGACAATGTAAATACTTTGAATCTATACAGACCAGAGTCTTTTTTAAGTCTAAGCCAATATCTACTCTATTTTAAAGACATGTATTTTATTTGAAATATATATTAGCTCTCAGGGATTTGCACCGCCTTTAGCTTTTCGTTTCTTGTGTGTTTCTTGGACCTTTTCCTTCCCCGTAGCTAACCACACACACACCTCGAAATCTCGAAACAACTTTTTGCGCTCCATTTTCGCAGACACTGAAGGGCAAACATTTTCAGACGAACGTCGACTCGCAAATCTCGGCCATGTCGTACCTGGACCTGATCCTACGATCCATCACGGAACCGGGATTGCTGAGGGCCTTCGTTCGCTTTTTGCTCGACACGGAGAAGTTTGATGGAGAACGGATACTGGATGCTCTGGTCGAGCGCCTGAACTCGCCCGATGCTAATCTCTGCATGGTAACGTTGGCCCTATTTGATACCTTGCTAGGTCTGCACTGCGAGGACCTGATGTTGGAGCTGCTGCTCAAGTTTATGCTGCCGGGAAAGCATGTGCCCATCTCGCATCGCCACAAGATCAACAAAATAGATCCGTATCTGAACAGCAGTGAGTTCTTCCTTGATCTCTCGCCCGATGTGATGAAGAGGGCCAGGGATCTGGCAAGACCCAAGAGCGTCCACGAACCGGTGGTCGGAGATCTAACGCCGCTGCCCAGCCTCCCATCACCGGTCATGAGCAAGACGATCGGAGCCAACTGGAACTATTACGGAGTGCACACGGGCGACAGCTTGTATGCGAACATCCAGGCGTATCTCTTCGAGGCCCACTGGAGAATCGCCCAGTGCCAGAGGGATTGCCTCAAGTGGGCGAACAGTTATCGCTATCAAAAGTGGCCTCGTCACGGCCAGGGAAGAGTTCACGCCCACGCCTTGGAGCTGGCCAAGCAGTTCTTTACCGAGTTCGGAGGAGGAGCTATTGTTGCCGGTGAAATGGGAGAGAAACAACTGGACAGCTTGCAGTCAATCGGCGAGTCCAGCGGCTACGAGTCCTTTAAGTGGCGCCCCGCGGACGAGGAGAGCGAGGCCACCGACACAACTATGGCCACCACAGCCAGCGAGGCAGACTTGGACCACAACGGCAGCAGCATCAGCAGCGTGCTGTGTGGATCCGGCAAACGAGAGGCCTGGCGCATATCGCACAACAATCGCAACGAGTTACTGCTGACAGATCTGGACTTTTCCGAGGATTTGTTTGCGCAGGGCACCGTAAGCTTAGGTAAGACTAGTACTTTTTCCTCTAAATACAACCTTGTAATTATTTTGCTTACATTTTCGTGTAGGTCCCTTTCTTAATGCCATCTGGGGCAAACTGCAAACCTTCACAAGCAACTCACTGTATGTCAATCTCCACCTGACCGGGCTTATCACGCGCCTGGCCTGGTATCCCCTGCCACTGATCCACTCGCTGTTGCTGCGCTCCGACATCGCCATCACCTCGGACACGCCCTCGTTTCATCAGGTGCTACGCATACTCAAGCAGCAGATTGACGCCGAGCTGCCAGTGACGGAGGATTCGCTGGAGATCATTGATGTGGCGCGATCATCGTTGATTGATCGGGAGTTCCGTCTGGCGAACGCGCGGAAGGGCAACGAGGGTTCGCCAATGCATCACAACACACACCAGCAGGTGGCATCGAATTCCGGTCAACAACAGGGCCAACTGAGATCGGCCTACGCGACTCTTTCGGCTGCCACGCCTGTGCAGGCGACGCCGACCAGTGCCTACGATCCGTTTAAGCGCAGTGACAACAAGAGGCGGAGCATTAGCAAGTCCATTACCAGCATGTTTAGCAGGAAGTCAGCCACCTCATCGATTGCGCCTCAAAATGGCTCTTCCGGTGAGTAGATGCAGATAAAATATGTTTGTGGGACACTTTTGCACAATTTCTATATTTCTAAAAGAAAAACCAAGCAAACAATCTAGAAATCACCAACAGTTTACAAGTCTGCAGCGTTGGATGTTGGAAGAAAGTTGGTTTTGGGTCAAAAATAATCACACACCACTCACAAAAGAACACATTTACACACATTTACTTTGAGCCCTGCATTAGTGCCTGAATCTATAGAGCCGTAAAATTCATTTTAATTAATTAAAAGTAAATAAAAAATGTGCTTAATATCTTTGATGGCATTATCGTAGACAGGACTCATTCGGGGCTGTACTTGGTCGACACATTTCTGTAAAATGCCATCCGGCATCGTTGATAATAAATTAATTTCTTTTATTTCTTTTTTTTTTATTGAAATGAAAAATCAAACAAAACTTAGCTTCATCTGGCTTATCACAAATTTACGCATTCTTCACCGGTAAATATTTCACGCTTGATAAAAGTATTTAAAGTTTAATCAAACCTAATCCAAACTGGCATAGTCTTGTTACACTTAGTACGTAGTCTCGCTGTTCCCGTAGAGCTTTGTAAATTATGCGCTCCCACTAAACCCAAATAAAATAATGGAACTTGTTGATGTACATTTGTAGAATCCCATTTATGTGTTTGTATTGTTGCTGTTACAATTAACCCAAAATGGTCAATATCGCCAAGAGTATCTAGTAAACCCGCTTGAATTTTTTAGGAGCTGCTTCGAATCTGGTGGGGAACAGTACAAGTGTCGAGGGAAGAGGATATTCCCAAGGGCAGACAGCCGGAGGAACATGCGAGACCAGCCTGAGTACGCAACCACAATCGGGAGTATCGCGCACTGGAGCCACAACCGCGGCGACTACGACTGCAGGCAGCAGCACCAACAGCAGCATCGGCGGTTCCACCCAAACCCTGTCCGCGCAATCGAGCACCACCACCCACTCGACGAGCACGCTGCACGGCATGGATCAACAAACAGGTGGATTCAACTCGGAACCAGTGTCCCTTGATTCGGTGGCGTCCATGGGAATCATTGCGAGTACGAGTGGCACCGAGCGATCACGGGACCTGGCCCTCTGCGCCGTTCTCCTGGATGAGTGGCTTAAGGAGCTGGCGGCCATTGCGCAGGAGCAGAGCGTTGTGCTGGTCACGGAGCCGGGGCCTTTATGATCGCTTAGAATAGCTGCTGAACAAGTCTTGTGTATACTTTTTTTACGGATTCGTTGTCCCTTGTTTGTTTTAACCAGCTACTCTTACGAAATTATTTCTTTTTACCTGTTAAATTATACATATTTATATTTTAAAGAACCTTTTTAACGAACAATGCCGCAGTTTTGAACAGATTTACAGATTAATGCACACGGACTCAAACAAAAAACACCCAAACACGCGTTATCCAAGTTAGAGTTTAGGTTTAAAGTTGTAGGTGGATAGGACGGTGGATTTTAAGTGTTCAGATGTAAACAAATATTCTAATTAACAGCCGTATGCAAAATTTACAACCTTTTTAGAGAGAATTATATATAACACACATACCATGTATACATATGTATTTTTGCAATATATTTTATGCTTTTATGTACATACATATGCAAGATCAAATTACACAAGTTATGTAAAGCCGACTTGAAAGTATTAAATTGGTCCAAGTAAATGCACAGCCAAAAAAAAAAAACGTCTTTGGATTTTTTTGTTATATATCTATGCAGCGATTAAAACTCTAAATGTTAAAAAACTCAGAGCATTCCGGCCTGGATCTTGTAATCACGTCGAGCTCCAATTCACGAAACTCCTTCAGGATGATCACAAAAGATAATGTATCTGATAAGTTGTTTAGCTCATTATAAGGGTCCATGTCGGCTGGAGTTGCTCAGATCGCGATCGTTGTATCTTAATCTTTTCTTTAAAAAATATCTGAGCAATCCAGGACCCCAACCAATGTTGAGAAAAATTATTTGTGGTAAAATGGATTTTTTAGTGGTATTTCTTGCTTTGCTCGGGTTGAGTCCGTTAAGGTTCGAGTGGCCATCAGCTTGGAGATTTTAGACCCACACTCTCGTGCTGTTTCTTTCGCACTTACTAGAAAACACCCTTTCACTCGCACTCACTGTAGGAATTGTTAACAGACTGGCGAACCCGACGAGATCACCTTATACCTTTTCTACCATGGTTTAGAGCACTTTGGGTAAAAAGCAAATCAGTCAAATACTTCGTTGCTTTGCTAGCGATCGTTCGTTGCGTTGTTAAAAAACATAAAGCTGCAGATCGCCGGGAGAATATCGCTTTAAATTCAAATTTCTGTAAACCGTTTACTGCAATTATGTTACATCTTTCGCCACTATGGTTGTGAGATCATCGCGTCGTTGAAGTGCAATCCCAGTCTTGGTCGAAAATTGGTTAATGTTTTTTGCCTTAAGTAGTGTGGAGAAATGTAAGGAACACCGGCTGAAACCGCCTTTTTCGGGCTTCAGCGATGCGAAAATAGTTCGCTAAAACGCAAAAGGCGACGCGTCTTTTTGGCTCTCTAAAAGGGCAGGCTGGAAAACTCGAAAACTGGGGCCAATAAAAGATACATACAAGAAAAATAAGCGAGTGCGCGAAATCGACTGCGTGTGCGCTGCGAGTGTGTTCGTGTACGAGCAAAAAACAAAAAGAGGAAAAACAAAAATAAACAAATAAAACTAGTGTGAAGAATAATTTGCGCTGTTTAAACAATTAGCCGCAAAACAAACGCCGGAGTGAGTGCCTGTGTGTGTGTATCTGAATCTGTATTTGCATCTGTATCCGTATCTGTATCCCTGGAATGCGCAGTTGCGCATGCGCAAATATTTGTGATTTGTTTTGAAAGGAGAGAAGGAGCGAAAGAGAGAGCGCGAGAGGTATCGGATTGGAATAAAAAACACATCTCCTGGCATTCGCAAAAGGTGAGTTTTGCTGTTAGATTGGCAACAGCAATTGCAGTTGTTGCGGCCAAGTTGCCATTTTCCCTACCCACGTTCCTTAGCACAGGAAGAAAATAGGGTGTACTTTCCTCTGAAATCTTTATTAATAACGAACTAGTAATTGTGTTTGCTATGCTAATTTACAGTTAAATTACAGAAGATTACCTTCAACAAATTCAGTGTTTTGATCTTTCAAAAACAATAACTGTTTTAATATTTTCTCATTTTCATATTTGAAGTAATGACCATTGAAGCAATAGATCTCTCCGTGTATCGTGCCCACGTCACTCGGTTAAAAATCCCTGGGCTCGGCCCACTCGAAATTAACTCATTGCCCCCTCGTTTTTCCCTTCGATCCCGAAAATTGCTCTATTCTCTTTGGAACGCCCACTTTGTCAGCGCTACGCCCACCTTGCCCATTTGTTCTTCTTTTGTCTTTTCGGTTTCCCCGGTGGAAAGGCAGTTTTCCCTCCACTTATCGCTCGGACACTAACCCATAGTCGTAAAAAGTACGAGTAAAAATCAATTTTCAAAACAAGCAGGACAAAAACAAAGGAGTATCGAACGACGACAATAACATCAATTTTGAGGCATTTATATGCGCCAATAAATTGTTGAATAGGGAGAGAAAGACAGAGAGAAAGAGAGAGAGCGAGATAGTATCGCATCCGAGGAAAGCAACAAATAACAGGCAGAAAGATACACGACAACGCGCAACAATAAGACACAAGATCAAACAAAACCAGCAGCAGAAACCGACGGTGCAGCATCCATGTTGTTGTTGCTGTCCCCCCGTAGTTGTTGGTGTTGCAGTTGCAGCAGCAACAACACTGTATCAGCAACAGGTAAAAGCAGCGACGCCAGCGCTTGGAGAACGCAGCGAGAGCGAAAGGGACGGGGCACAACAACCTGTTACATCGCCCGCTGCCTGAAATATGTAAAGTCAATTTCGTGTATCGGAAAACTGTAACTAATGCCAAAGCGTCGGCAGCACCAGTATACCATTAACCCATTAACGCGCCACGGAGAAATCGGCCAAAAACTTAGTATTTTCCCTAGGGTAATACACCTACATATGCGGGAAGGAATCTCTAATGGAATTGCACTTGTTCACCCCCCTTCACAAATTATTTTTAATTAAAAAATAATTATAATAATTATAACTCTTGTTTCAAGAGCACCTTTTTTTCTAAAAACCTTTTAGATTATGTCATATCCCAACGGGTCTTAAGAGTAGAATTTGTTGTTGCCATGCTTCGTGTTGCAACCCCAAGAAATTGCTGGCCTGCTACAAATATTTGTAGGATTTTCCCGACTTGGCCTGGCATCTTAATGGGTTAAGATCTGTGGCCGCGGGGCCAAGTTCGTTGTACGCGGCGGAAAATAAAAGACAGCCGAGTAAGAAATTTTTGTCAATGAAAGAAAACTTTCTTTTGGGCTTATCCACGCCAACATCACCAACATCGCCTCGCCGCCGGGCTCTTTTTCTCCAGCTCTTTCGTTTTCTTTCCTTCTCGCTGGTGATTTTGTTTTCTGTGTCGCCTTGTTTTTTATTTTTTATACACATTTTTTGTTGTTTAATTGGGCGGTTTTTAAGATTTACGCGCGCCTGCCGCCATCTGCAGTGTCGGGTGTTTTTTGTTTTTAGGCTGGATCTTTGTATCTTGGTATCTCCTCGGGCTCTTCATGGTCCATTAAGACAATTTAGGCTGGCTTCTCTTTTCCGGCGAGTGGGAGTGTCGTGGGCGGGGGCGGGAAAGGGGTGTCATGGGAGTGACTGCTGCGTGGGAAGGTTCAACGTGAGTTTTGTCATCTCGAGGCTGCCAGTTTGATTGCCCCGCAGCCCCAAGTCATCCGGCCATCCAGCCATCCAGCCATCCAGTCATCCAGCCATCGAGTGTCCAAGTTGGCGCAACAAGTGTCCCAGTTTATTGCTCGGCTAGAAGCCAGAAGCCAGAAGCCAGCTACTCGAACTAGAACTAGTTTAAGTTTCCTGTCCCGACTGCCATCGCTGGAATCTCCTCCACATAGTCACATACTGGCACACAGTTGCGGTGGCAACGCTAGAAGTGGGTTATCCGAAAGGTTATTCTTGCGAAATGGGGATGGAAACGTGTTAGGTTATACAAAACGATCTTTTAGAGTTTTTGAAAGCACTAAATTAGGAACTCTTTTTATGGAGAAGTGTACTAAAATTGTTGATATACTGACCACTCTAAAAATTTATAATCCATGTGAGTGACATCTTTTGTGCTATTTTGTTGACCGCAAGTGTGGCTTGCTCAAGCTTTTCCTTTGAGCCCAGTTATGTTGACTTTTGCTGCCGTTTCTGCGGTCGCCGCACCCTCCAGCCCCCTCCAGCAACCCCCTGGCCCCGTGATCCCCCTTCGGAGCAAACTACTCCCCTGTTATTAACCGTTCGGCCACATTTTCTCACACAGAAAGCGCAAAAATGCTTCGCAGGCCACTCTGGCAATTGGCGCGCCTCTGGAAATGACAAACGGCCATGAGCATGTGGCTCAGAAGGGGGCGTCCCAGCTCGGGCCCCACTAAATTACGGAAATCTGAAAATATTCTAAGCGTTCACCGGGAAAATTGATTCGGAATAACTGTATCAGAATGCTCGAACAAAAAACAGAACAAGTCTCGGCTGGCTATGCCATAAATTCCTGAAATTATCGAACCGGGCCGGTTAAAAGTTATGATCAAAACATGTTCCGACCATGCATATCAGATAAAATAGATCTCAACGTATAATTCTACTTCATCAGCAACTGCGTTATTACTATCTATGATAGAAAATACTATCGTATTTAATCAGATGTCCCAAAATAACAATCGAGTTAACAGCTTATGCACTTTAAGAGCTCATCTTTGGTCTTCCAACATGAGGCACTGATTTAATTGCATCCAAAGCGGGCTCCCCGCATATCTTTGTAAGAGCCAAATGATCCAATTCGACGTAAATGTCGAAGGAATTTAAATGAGATCAGTCGATTGGAACTGCCATTAGATCATCAGTGCTCGAATTGGATCCGGCATTTTCCGTTCGGTTCGATTCGAGTTTGAGTTTGAGGAGTGCTCCACTTCAAGTTCATTAGCCAAAGGCCTCCTTTACTTTCCATTCGCTCAGCTCGGGTCGGCTTCTGGCCAAAACTGGCCGCCAACGTTCTCCTGTCCGCTGGCCGCTGTCCGCCGGCCCCACGTAACTGTAACTGATTTTGACCTCCCATCACTTAGCTACCAAAAAACCTCCTCCAAAAGCGTCGTTTTTCTCCGCTGCTGCCGTTTTGGCATTGTGAATGGTTATGGTTATGGCGGTGGTGCATCGGTGGATCGGTGGATCGGATCGCGGGGGACCCACGGAGCTATCTGGCGGCATTGGGTCTGTTTCGCTGCTCGGCTGTCGGAGCGGTGTGACCTCGACAACAAATTTCTATTGCATGCAATTTGGTGGATATCACATGCGCAAATGAACATTAACACTTGGCGGTCGCCGGAGAGATGGACAGTAGAGAAAAGGCCGAAAAACCTGTTTGTACACCAGAAAGCAATGACAACGAAAATATTGGTAAATAAATAAAACAAACAAGCAACGAATATGGTGTGCTCTGCATAGCAAAATACATTTTTAAATCGGTTTGCTGGGATATCTCTTACCATAAATTGAAGCACACCATTTAGTGATTTATTGTGTATTAAAAAGCAATAATAAGGTAGTGAACACTGAATATCAAATCGAAACCAAATGCAGATTAATTTATTGTTAAAAGTTAGTTAGAAAAAAACATAAACTTGAATTGAATTTTTATTTATTTTGAAAGTGTAGATCCACAGCACTCCCCTTGTAAGGGTATAAAATCATCGAAAACAGCAGCCAGGGAGCTGGGAGCGGGGTAACGAGGGAAAGAAAAGTGCGCCTAGAAATTAGAAAGTACGCGGCGGTCTGGAGGAGAGGCTCAATCTGAAGCCGAAGCCGAAGCCGGAGTCGAGGTTGAAAGCTAAAGCTGGAGCTAAAGCTAAAGCTAAGACCGAAGTCGGGGCGGTGGGTATGTGAGTATAACTCGATTTGTGACTGTCATAAATGGCGGAAATTGTGGGGCTCGAGACAAAGCGGGCTTGGGGACCGAGGCTTTCTGGCTGGCTTTCTGCTTTCTACTGCCGGTCTTCAGCTGCTTTTGCGGCTTTTTCCAGCGCCAGCACCAGCTCCAGCTCCCAGTCCAACTGCAGCTCCAACTACAGCTCAAACTCCGGCCTAAACGCAAACTTAAACTCCAGCTGCAGCTCCGCGTCTCCGTCTCCGTTTTTCTTTCTTGCTTGACTATAATTTGTGCCATCAGCATTTTGTTGTCGTTATCGTTAGCAAAGCGAGAGACCAGAAGACTGCCAGCTCAAAAGACAGAAGACTGCTGGGGAGCCAAGAGTGAAGCCAGAAGACTGAAGACAGAAGACAGGCGACGGCAATGAAGCGTTCGTTTTGACATTTCTCCTGCTCCGCCGGCCTCTCTCTTTTGGCTTGCTCTCCATAATTATCCGAGCGGAGAACGCACGGAGCACACTGGTGCCACAATTTGGCCACATTTTTATTTTATTAAATCCCACCTTGCACTCCGCCCTCCCCTTTTATGACTTATTCAATGCGCCGCCGCCACAGAGATTGGCATTAAGAAGTGCCCCGCAGAACCGGCTCAAGTTCGCCTCGATCTGCGTTTATTATTACACTTAATGTGACTTGATTTATAAACAAGAGCAGCGGCGAACACAGCCTCCGCTGGAGGATGGAATGGCCATTGGACAGCTCCCCCTGCTCCGCCTGCTGGCCAGCTCCACAGCTCCAGCTCCGCTGCTTGGCCAACTGTTGCGAAGACAACCGATCGACATGGCTCACTGGCCAAAGGGAACACTGTGCGAAACCAGATCTCATAAATAATAAGTAATAGATTTTATTTAATTAAATATTGTCTTTGGTTCAAAAGGACGTA